TCCCTGGTTCATTAAGGGAATACTGAAAGTACAATGGTAAGGTGTTAAGTAGTCTGTTGTATTGGGAGAGTTTCGCTAAGCATCTGCATGTGCACCACAATATTTTGGTTCTATATCCAAGGTTTAATTGGCATTAGGCTAGTCAAAGCTCCTTTGTCTCAAAGCGAAGGCGTTTTGGTCCCCCATTTTTCACATGTATTGTCCAACTGCGATACGTGAAAAGCTCTCAGGGGTCTACTCTTCTGCTATCCCGATTCTATCATTGACAGCATTTTGCGTTGAATAGCTACAGGTGCTTTGTATGCGTGCCTACTTATGCTTGCCTTTTTCCCAAGGTGAGAGCATATTCGGTGCAGGCTCTGGCAAACAGTGTGCCTTTTCACGTGCTCACATGATTTAACATTTACAGATTTAATCGTGTTGTACCATCAACTGGAATGGGATTATGACATTCAGCGTTGCCTTATTTGCTTGAAGGCTATGCCAAGCCCTAGATCTGACGCATTGAATCGAAAACCATAAAAGCAAGAAAGTGTGCGAAATGTCCGGGTTAAATTTTGTGCGTGCAAGATGGTGAACTTTTGTCCCTTTTTGATCACCACGTTTCAAAATGTGCCGCTGTTTTCTTTTGTGATGCGTTCTTTTTTGGAGCTCATGTAATGTCAACTACCACTCCTAGTCATTGTTGAGAGGGGGCATTGCTCTTGAAATCATTTATTGACCTAAGCGGGCAAAGTTTGGCAATAATTCCATAGATCCTGGACTACGGTGTTAATTCATGTGCCAAAAAAATGCATTTATAATCGCACCGACTGGGGTGTATTGCGATGCCGGAATGGCATTGTAAACGCGCCTAACTTAATTTCACCAAAAATATTTCAAAATGTTTCGCTCACCCTCTATTGTCGTAGTGAGGGACTATTTTGGTAATGCTGTTAGAAATGATTACTCCTGTTAACGCCTTCCAACTATTGTCGTTTAGGTGGTTACATAGTTGGAACCTGTTTCTCGTGCATGTACAGGGTATTTGTTTAATTTTACTTATCCTTCTCCCACTTTTAGTGCCCCATTGCCCATCAAAACTGCAAGATGGCTCTCTTCTTCGATTGGTTCTGCTTTCGACATAATGAATGTATTATGAACATCGGTACGCCTTCGTTCCACAAATCTTATTAGTAATTTAAAAGTCCAAACAAGGGAAATTAATTTTAATGGTCCTGGCTCAAGCCACTTATCCTCGAATTGTTTGAGTATCATGTGACAGTTTTTTTTTAGATTTTTAAGAAGAGGAGTAATTCTCCCGTTTTAGTTTGCACTCTGTGATAACTGTTGTTCCTTTGCGCAATATCCACTCGTGATCTTTGCAGCTTTTATATCATAAAAAGATGGGGTGCTTGAGATTCGCCCTTGGTGGTGGTGCAATTGCAAGGACGATTTTCCATCGCTTCACTTTGTTTTTGTTGTAGAGCCGGCAATGCTCATCATTACCAATAACCTCTCCTCTACGCGCTTTCAACCGTTCGCCCTCTCTATGTTGGAGTTTTTCGTAAAGGTGAGTCGTCAGTTTTGAAACTAAACGCGTCCATTGACGTTTCCTACTGTCACTTGTCTTGAAGACACTTTTTACACACTCAGCGAAATATAACTTTCATTACTTTTGCTATTCATTTTTATCAACCTGGTTCAAATATCCACTTTTGTCTTGGAAATATTACTCTGCCTTATTACTATCTTAATTCCCAAGGGAATTACCACTTGGGATAGTTCCATTAATTGCATCGTTTAAATGGCCAGCTTCAACATCTATTCTTTCACCAATCGTGTATTGTAATCATAATCAGCTGTGTTCAATCCTTGTGGCTAGAGGGTATCTTAAGAAATTTGTTTCCTATCGAGGGAAAAATGTTTCCCAGTCCAGTGCCAATTTTTTAAGTACATTGTCTGGGTTCCTTGCTGTTTGTGTTTTAAAACATGGAGATACCGACAAATAATATAGGGTCCTGTAGCTTACAATGGGTCCTTTTTCTACTACTGTGATGGTAGAATGTTGCTGATTTTTGGGTGAGTTCTCAAGCTCAGTTGTTTAAGAGCCCTCGTGTTCGCTTTCCTTTTAGACTGCGACCAACTTTCATCCACTCCTAACGGAGAGGTTTGCTTTTTCAATTCGGGCAGGCATTGACGACAGCCTACGTCTAGGTGTTATTCGGTGAGTCGATTACTTCTTCATGTTCCCATTGCAGTTTTAATCTCGTTAAATTCTCATGCTTTCACCCGTGTTTTCTCCGTCTTGTAAATGCCCTGAGGCTTCGATGGATGCTGTCTTATTTTTATTTTGCAGATCAATTAATCCCATTTTGGACACACTGCTCCGGATTGCTCCGGATATCTACCGCAGCTTCACCACTCTTATTGGTCCTTTGGTGGACTCCACCCTCCCCCTATCATCCGCTCCCGGGGCCAGTGGCGTGGGCAGCTCCACCGCCGCACCGGGAGAAGCAAACGCCCTCGAACTCGGAGGAGGAGGCAGTGGTGGTGGTGGTGGAGGAAGCTTTGACGGTAATAAATTCCACCGACCTCACTCCACAGTTGGCCTCTCTAAGTCTCACTCTTCTGATCTTTTAAGCAGACCCAGAGGTTAGCGAATTCATTAATTATAATGGCTTTGTTGGATCCAGTACAGCAACTGGGCAACACGCTTCATACTCATCACGCTTTGTGCCTGGATTGTGCCGATGTTCACTTTATGCAGTCTTTCACGTCGCGCTTCTAACACATCCCCTCCTCCTAACTTATTCACTGTTTTAGATGCGATTGGTCACACCTCGGCAATTAACGCATCCGCTACTGGTTCACCGACAGATCCTCGTCTCCGTCGTGGAAGCCTTCCGAATGTTGCACCCCCAAAAAACGGAGCCTTACCCCTTCCCTTCAAGACTCAACAGCGTCCACCGTCGCCGGAAGCTTTGGGCCGATTTTCACCTCCGCCTCTACCTCTGATCGATCTCTCCACCTCTGAATTCACATCTCCGGATGAGGTCAAGAAAGGAAGTGCCAACCAACAGCAGTCGGAGAGGAAAACACGCCCACAATCGCCCCCACCACCCGTGGCGGTGTATCCCGCCCTCCCGCCTCCGCAAGAACTCTCTGCGTTGCCTAGCAATTTTGAGACTCTGGCTTCACCGGAATGTCGTATCGGAGCCAACTCTAGTGTGGACACTATTCAGCAACGCATCGGTTAGTCTACAACCAAGAAGGACCGATGATTCGTTGAAATTTGTTTGTATGGAATGATTCATTCTTTTGTTTTCCTTTGTAGACGATTTGCGTCGGAGATTTCAGTCCTACCAACTTCGCTACACGTACAGGATAAAAACAGACGTTAATGTGTTTGACATTCTCGGTCAATTTGTCGGTGAAATTCATGAGTACTTGGAGAAGTTGATCTTCAAAGCGCGAGCCGTAGGTTTGCTGAGGGAAGTCAGTGGGTCGAACGAAGAGAGTAGAAGCTCAACACCTGCCTCCTTGTCAGACGATGCAGGTACGTTCTATTTTGACTACTTAGAGGACGGGCTACACAAAGGCCAACGCTGTTTTTCTACGCCGTTTTTTTCAGGCCTTGCAGACGTGTGTGAGGCAATGCAGAACCTCATCTACTCCGTGCTGGAGGATGACTTTTCCGACGATTTGGCGATGGTAGGTCGAATCGCGGATGTAATTAGCCAGATCTGTCTACCCCTCTTCGACAATGTCGCGGAGTGTGGTGATGCAGCGGCCCTTGAAAATAACAGAGTTGGTAGTGTTCTTCTGCCCTCGCACATGCCTATCACTCAAGAGTAAGTTTTTTTCATGATAGATGACTTTTACTGAATTTGATTGATTTAGTAGCTTAAATGGAAAGTCGCTTTGCTAATTGTGGTGGTTAGATACCTTTGGTTTTAAAGTAGTGTAAACTTTTGAAGCTACTCGAAAATGTGTGTAGTTTGTCAACATGTCAAAGTTGGCCTTTTACCAGCCGCCAATGCAAAATTGTTCGTAAGTTAAGTGTCCTTTAGTGGTAAATCGTTGTCTTTCATAATTGTTCTGCTCTATCATCGAGATATCAAAAACTCATTGCATAAAGGTGGATTTTGTACTTCTTGTGCAGGAAGATTGATGGCAGTCTCGCCTCTCCAGTGTTCGTGCTGCTTCGAAATCTGTGTGAAATGAGTCGATCTAATGCGAAACGCGAGATTCTTCTACTTCTACTCACCGAGATCCAGATTCGGCAACCTCGAATCGGTTATCATTTGCTTTACTACCTCACTGTCAGGTTAGCCAATTTTGGAAAGTTCAATCCCATGTCTAATTTACCACTCATCTGTAGTTACTTTTGGAGGTAAAGCTATTGATTGTCGGTGGGTATGTAGCTTCTACAGTCAGTGGGATGGGGTATCTGTAGCTCTTACCTTACAAGATAATGCATTTTGATGGTCACACTGCTTCGAAGCAGTTGGAAAATCGAATTAAGTCGAAAGCATTAGCTTTCTATGCCATCGTTTATCGGCTTGTTGTTATCATCAGCAGACCCACAGTGTTACTTTTGTCTTCTCACTTGTTGGTTCCTCTATTTTTAGCACCGTAAACGAAGACAGAATGGCGGCTTATAGGAGTTTTTGTGCAAGCCAGGAGAACTCTAGTTTCCTTGTGTGTCTCTATCGCGATCTGCAGGTACGTTAATTGTTAAGAATTTGTTGTATTGACTTCTTCACAAGGACTTATCCCATGCATTTGTCTTTTTTTGCTCCTTTAGCTGCTTGCAGATGACAACCGATTTCTTTTCTGTTTTCTTCTACCAACAATCTACAATGTCGTGAGTTCCAGATTCTCTCTAAAGGCGACATTTCTTAAAAATTTTCTTGAAAATAAAATCCCGCATTTGCATAACCATGTCAACATTTGCTGTAAACTTTGTACATCACACTGTTACTGTGGTTCGTATTGAGGTCACGCCGTAGCCTCATGATGTCATATTCTGTCTTGTGAACGTGGATTTTCGTTTCTTCGTAGTATTTTTTTGGTGAGAAATTGGAATTATAACTGACTTGCGTACATCGTCTTCGTCATTTTACAGTTCGCGACCGATCTCGCTAACAATCCGGATTTTCTTCGCCTAGTCGTTAGCAAAATAGACTCCAGTCAGGTAAATTACCTTATTAGCGAGATTCTTCGTGGGCATCTCAACCTCTTCCATCGATCCGATATTACGGACGTCCTCAGTAAGCTCCATTGTCTTCTATCTACCATGGAAAAGTGGTGACTTGGATGCATACGTAATATTTTGTCGTCATTTTAGAAGCGAGTTTGGAATGGAGTTCGACGGAGCAGTCCTTCTTCTGGCAACTCGTTGGCGCTCATGAATTGCCCACTAAGCATTTCCTTCCCCTCATCTCTCTTGTCGATGGACAAAAGCACTCCGAGGCGTGTTCCCAACTTCTGCTCCTTCTGCAGCTCGAAAAGTGTGTTTTTTCCTTGAATTTGCCCCTCTTTTACTAAGCAACCTCATGCATGTGTGTATGCAAATAGCAGAATCACACGGTCACTGCGTACCACGTGGTACTTGATTTAGATAAATGTATTCTTCATTTATATTCTGCTTCCTAAAGCGGCGTAAGTCAGTTGTTTTGGGCTATTTCGATATAAGTCAAGACTGGACCTTGGCTCCCCTTGTGTTTTGAGGAATGGCCTAATTCTGCGTTCTCACCGTGTGCACAAATAACTCAACGTGTTCAGTCTTCTGGGCCTCTCTCTCACAAGTTTAGCGTGTTTTGCTAATTCTATTTCAACGAGAATATGGATTAATTCGTGACTTCATTCTCGAAGGTGTTAATAAATTTGAATTTTCTGGTCCAAATGATTGAGTCTTGCTAACCAGACATGTTAAAGCTAATAAAGGAAGTATTTTGGTTTTAGAAAGATTGGGTAGATTCTGCGCCCAGTGTTTTTTGACCTTACTGATGAGATGGAAACGAATGAGTTTTTAGCTCAAGTTGTAGAGGACATCAGTCAGGAAGGACTGGTTACCTTATGGTACTGCCGTTATGACTCTAGCTATATGTTACCTGGGTGGTATCCGATTCGCTAGACTGAAAACACGTATCCTTCTGCCGTGAATAGATGTTTATTGGATCTTACGAATCACCAAGCTTCTCAGGATAAGTACGTTAGAGTAAACAAATGATTTTTTTGTCCTTTCCTCTCTCACCAGACCAACGAACGAGATAGTGCGTCTCCTGTTGACCCGCGCAGCCTCCAGCCTCAATTCCACCGTAGCCGCCTCCAACACAGCTGATGACCTCCTCTCCGTCACCACGCTACACTACTGGGGTCGTCCAGGCGGTGCCTATGCCCAACGTTTTGCTGAAATTCTTGGCTCCATGGTGACAACTGCAGTGAACACCCTGCGTTGCGCTCATGACGCTGAGGAGGGAGGCATTGGCGTCGCAGGTAGAAAAAGAAACGGTCCAAAGTGAGTGATTTGCCCGGTAGCGATTCGAGCCCTCTCCGAACGCGTGATGATGCATACCGGTTTGGCGGAGTTTATTGTGTGTAGAATGACAATAGACACAAATAGAACAGTGTGACATGAAATTGGCGGCCAAACCGCCAGGACTGAAAGGTCTGTGTGCATGAGTGGCGCCCGAGTTCCCCCGAAATTGTTATAATGGATGACACGAATGGGATGTCATGTTGCCAAGATGCTAGCTGAAATTGAGGAGATTGAAGAGTTTGCATAGTGAAAGTGGAAGTGTTCCTTTCAAAATGTTTATGCACCTACATAAAACTTTTAGTGTAACACCTTGCCTTAATCTTACAGTAGTGTTTACTTTTGTTATTTCTAGGGCTGGTTGCGGCAGTTCGGATCAGATGCCTCTCTTGATCTCCATTCTTACACATTTAGAATGCATGCGAAGAAATTGCAAAAACATCTCGAGTGAGTTGCACTGCTGATCAGCGCTTGCATCCATTCTTTTTACCCGTCGATTTGCATTTTTGTTTACTCCCGACGGGCTGCTAAAGTTGTCACTCTTTGCTTATAGAAAAGAAGAACGAAACTTGTTGTGGTAGGTTGTCAGTCGGGTGCCGTTGAAATGGCTGTTTCCCTCGGTTCATGTGTTTATTATTAGCATACCTTATTCCTTCTGCCTCCTTTACCTCGAATGCATTACCAACAGTTTTAATAATTCCGTCTATTACTTTATTTCTCTTCCTTTGTCCTCATACTCCAACAAAAAGTTACGTTTACAATTGGCTTCGCGAGATCTCGGTAACCCGTTCTTGGGGCCTATGGTGTGCTGCTCCAATGCAGGTGTTACTCTTTACCACTCTTTGCTTTCTTGCGGCCAACTAATGAGATTGCATTTATTTTTATCTGTTTACCTGTTAGTGGCTGAGTTGAATCCCAACTGTCTACGTTATTTCCTAACCTCCCCTCTAGTGCTACAAGCGGCAGAGCTTCAAACCTCCCTACAACAGGTCATCCTCTCCACGGGAGTTCCTGCTCATGTGAAGGACCGTTTTGCAGAACTCCTTAGCCTAGTAGAGCATGACGCCATGGAGACTGTCCAGACAACATCAACCACAACTAGGGCGGGTGGAACATCACGAAACAATAAGCAGGAGGCTAAGGAAGTTCTTGGCACCGGGTCCTCGAAGGGGGGACACAGTCTCCGCAATCTCGATTCGAGACGCGCGGCTGAGGTGAGCCTTGTCAGTGGAAGGCATCAGTCTAGAAGTAGGTTTTGTGAATGCACAAGACTAGGACCCGATGACAACTAAAACCAAAACCACCAAAGCTCAGGATGAATCGTGGAGTGTCGAGTAGGACGCCATAGTCAAATGTGCAGCTAGAACAAATTGTATAGTCCTCTCTTTGACCTTGGGCACCATTCTGGACGTTACCCTTCATCGCTCCTCTTTCCAAGTTTTGATAGGGTAGATGGACAAATTAGAACTACCTGCAAATTAGATAATGAAGTTTCTCATCTTGACTAGAAGGCGTTCGATCCCAACAATACTGATGCAGTTCATGGACCCACCTTTCGTGTGCTCTTCGCGAACTTCACTGCAGTTTAGTTACCTTGTATTCCTCAGTAGTGGACGGTGTTCTACAGAGATTACATTTCCTATTTTGATCGTCGCTCGTAGAATAACTTGCCTAAAAGCGGGATATTTGAGTAAACCATAATACAAGGGAACTTCACATGGCTATGCTCTCTTCTCACTCCTCTTTAGGTGGAACGCAGAAGATCTGCTGCATTAGAGAGTGGAAAAAGGAAGCTAACACGCAAGAAATGGGACGAAGAAGAGGGTGAGGGCGACGACAGTTCGGACTACTCAAACAACAACAATAGTACTAACAACACCACCAGCAACAATAATGCCAATTCGGAAGAAGATAATGATAGCGATGGAGCCCTGGCAATTGACGACTCTATAGACGCTTCGGCCAACACGGAAAATGAGAAACAGGATGCCGTTGCCCCTTTGTCGTCTTCTTCCTCGCCTAATTCCCCCAACGGCGATAACAATAACTCGTCAAACTCATCAGGATCCGACTCGGGAGATGATGATGACGACGAGGAGGAGGGGCCTGTGATTCGTGGCGGGAAGCGTTCGGCTAAGGGTCGTTCTGTCTCCACAAAGAGGCAACAACCACCTGCAAAGAAACGCGCCACTGCGAGGACTCGCAAAGCGGCCCCGATTGCTGTCGACTCAGATGAGGAGGGAGGCGAGGAGAGTGACTCCGAAGATGCACCTCGTGTCACGGGGCCCTCGAAGAGACGCAAAGTGGTTTCTCGACGGCTCCTCGACGATTAAGCTCGTTTGTCCATACATATGTATAGGCTTGTTCAGTGTACAGTGCGTTTAGATGCGCAGCCGCCAGCAGTTGTAAACCAGCCTCTCTGGCTCAGCCATTTATTAGCAAGATTGCTCATCTTTTTTTGTCAGAAAGCTGATATCCTAGTGGTCTTTGATGGTAGATTGGTACTAGTTCTACCAAATAAGGATTCGACCTTCGGATAAACAAATATTACTTTGCTTTGGGCAATATCTTAAGCTATTTCGATTATGTGGATTTGTAGTGGTCTAGGGGTTCGGATGTTAGCAATTTACTCGCAAAATTAATGCCTGTTTCTTGTTGCGGAAGGGGTCTCAAATTTCTTGCAAGTTGAATTACGGCATATTCGATTAGTACAAAAACGTTCATGTAGGGCTGGAGTTCATACGATAATCTGTTTTATGCACTATAAATTGCCTAGTCGTGATTTGAACTTTGGGGCTGCAGCGAATACACCCCTTGATTTTCTGTTTACAACCTTTGGCTTTAGGTGAAAAAACAGTAGAATTGCAGTTCCCCTTTTGGGGTGTTGTGGTTTGAGGCACGATAAATGTTTTTAGAGCTCCTGGTTTCTCTGTGCAGTTTAGATTAACGGCACCAGTGATGCAGTGGGAGCTGTTCCTTGATTGCATAATCTTGAGGTCAATGTTGGAGGTGGATGCCCCTGACACACCTAAATCATATGATGTCCTACGTTTGGTTAGTTTTAAGAAACGTTAATGAACCTACAAAGGTCATTCAGTGCCCGTATTTATCGAGGGATGTCCATATTCCCGCAGTGGAGGTGCTCGCCATATTGTCCTGGATCCGCTACCCTTCGTCTAGGGCGTCATTAAAAATTCGGGACTGTAAGGTGCCTTTAGTCGCTGAGTGGATTCCTATATTCTGATAAACTTTCATCCTATGAAACAGTTGATAAGATTAGCACACTCCACTCTCGTTTTAAAGTATCTGCTTTGAGAGCAGTTATTTGTAGCATTTGCACCGGTCGTCATTGCTCGGTTTAAGCGAGTTGTGCGGGTAGTGAATGGCCATCATTAAATTTAGATCTGGTTTTGGATTACCAAGAGGTTTATAACTGGGCTAACTCAGAATAAACCTTCCGAGAATTTTTTTTGTGTATTCTGACTTTCAGATCACAAACCTTTGGCCTATTATTCGGTGAATTCTCCTCCACCTTCTAAGGATTACTCCTAAGTGTACAAATGAAAGCTACAGAAAGGGAGAGATAGCTGTATCATGCGGTTGCTTGCTGTGCAGATGACGCTTGCGTTTTGTTAGTCTATGCCACATTTATTGTGTGAAATTCCCCGAAATCTAGTCGGATTCAATGTTCTGGCCAACCTCTACAAAATCTCAGTCAGTTATGGCTTAGATGGAGTAAGCCTGCACCTAGCTAAATCAAATTCCCCCTTTAGAATTTAAATTGAGGTAAAAAAGTGAGGCGAGCTGCCTCACGTTTTTCAGGACAAGGGATACAAAATAAAATCCTTGGAAGGGAGGAGTGGATGATATGCTTACCTAAAGATCTGTTTCCGAAGTGAGAACACTTTACTTATTCCCATATTTGAGAGGTTATATTTGGTCTAGATTGATTTTGAATGGCTTGTAGAGGTATATAGGTGGCATTTGCAAAACTTATTAGCAGATGGGGAGCTGGCTTTAACAAGAGACGAGAATCAGGAAACACCAAGAGATGGTAATGGTTTGCAATTTTCTACTGTGTGGGTCTTTGACCCTGTATGGATTGTACGTTCTCCACTTGATACGTTCTTCAGTCCATGCCAGTAGGCTCTACTAATAATGCATGTATGGCTGATGGTGCATGTTCTTCGTTGCAATTTAGCTTTGTTCAACTTCAGGGAAGGGTTTGGGTGCCACATAATACTGAAGTACCAATACTGATGCAAATGGCTTCTGCGTCAGGGCAGTATGATTTTTAAGACCTTCAGCGTGTTTGTAACATAGCTCCCAACATACTGCTGTTATTTCTCACAAACTTAGGGGGGACTCGAGTCGCTGGACTAATGTAATGGTTGTTTGTTTGGATATTTATAGGATGTGAAGTATTCAGTGAATATTAGTTCGGTAGGAGGCGGTCTCTAAGGTGAAGTTGTACTCAAAGCGTTGGTACTTCCAGTCTCTGTGCCCTGCTCATATTATTACAAAAAAATACCTTAGATAGCAATGCCCATGGAAGATCATTAACAATAAATGGAAGTTAATACGCAATCACACTGTGACTTATATTTCACGTGTCATATAGGCAGGTGAAAATAGTGGATATTAACTGTCTTATTCCAGTCATAAAAAATATATCTGAAGACAGGTTCTCGTATGTTCGAACAATTTTGTGCTCCAGAACATCGGCAACGTGCAGATAGAATAGTCTGACTTAATCAAAACACGGCCTTAAGAACATAACCTTATCTGGCGGGGAGGCAGCGTTTCGGAATTTAAGTTTATTATGGGTGATTGTTTGAATGACCTATATTTCGCCACCCTTTCTTTTGGGACTAACGGGCCAATCGAGCACGAGAAACAGTGCTGTGTTCTTTGCTCTCGGGTATCGCGCAGTTTGGTGGTTCATTATCTTCTTGCTTTCAGCTCCGCTAAGTTTTCTCAATGTAATTTTTGTTTTCTAACCTTTGCGGAAGTATCTGTCTTATCTGACTTTGTCAACCTCGTTTTATACTTTGCAATCTTTGTCTCATGTTGCATCCACACACCGGGTTTTCCAACCAAACACCAAATTCGAACTCTCGCGAAATTGGTGGTCGAATCATTCACAGACCCATTCCAGTCGGTGCCTTTTCATCACGGCTCCCCGGTGGACTTCAAGCTTACAACATGCCTCCTAAGGTTTCTGGCCAAATCGACGGTACACCAATTAGTCACTGGTTCCATGGTAGTATCAGCCGTGAAGACACTGAATGCCTCTTAAAACATAGTGGGGTTAACGGAACCTTCCTTATTCGCTATAGCACATCAACACAAAAATACGTACTAAGTGTCATCAACAACCATCAGTTATATCATTACCCCATCGAAGAGCTTCTTGATGGATTTTATCAGGTGGGACTAATTTTCTTCTGTGATGGTATTTTTACCCTTGCATCTTTTTGGCAGCACTTACTTTTTTGGTAAATTACTCTTTCGTTGAGTATTTACCACTTATTTTGTGTTGTTATTGAGATTCACTCGATTATTTTTTCACAATGAGCACATTTCCTCTAGGAGAATGTTTCTAACCTATGGTTTTCGGTAATGAGTTGTCAAGATTTTGGTCCTTCAATATCACTAAGCATATTTTTATTACAGTTAATTTCTCCGATGTGTCTAATTTTAGACACTTTAGTTTACTTGAAATTTCCCGTATATAGGTCAATGGGACGAATGCCAAATACTTGGGCATCGACTTGCTCGTATCAGAGTTCCGTCGCGCGAACAATTGCATTGTCTGCTCTCTTGGCAAGCCCATTTTGGGGGCCAAACCACCTCCTCACATAACTGTCTACGGTTCTACCAACGAACTTCACCATGCAGTGAGGAAGGGGAATCTCAAGGTTAGTTCTACGATTTGGCTGCAACATTCTCGATTGCTCCATAAGACTGCTCATCTAGTAGCAGTTTTATTATAAGCCCAAAAGTTGGGAGGCTATAAACAGAACGTTCCGTTGGTGTCCTTACGTTTGGGTCTCAAGAGGTTGGAAGGTTTCGCCTAGTAACAAGTAATTTTTTATTCAACATGATCTCGTTATTTCATCCAATCATTTACTTTTGCATATTTCAAAATGAGGAAGGCGAAGTTTGTGTAAAATGTTGAGCTTTATTCTCTTAAGAGCTGTTAAATGGCTCCTAAAACCTTTTCGCCACTTGGCTTGGAATTGCTGACCATGAATCTCATCTTTTTGAGCTTTTAATTTGGTTTGGCTTTTGAATTACTTTATTGGTTTTGCATTTATTTCACTCATTTTAAAACAATATGTATTTTAATATCCCTGCATTGTATTGAATATGAGCTAAAATAAGAGCTTAAGATAAATGGAGACTTCACTATTTGGTAGTCGTCAGTTGTTTTTTGTTAATCACTGTTCTCGTCATTTGGGAAGAACCAAGTGGCTCCAAAAAAACTAACACAGTGGGCGGTTGTGTTTATTTCTCCTTTTATTTTATCAGAGCATAATGAACGGTTTATGCTCTTGGTTTACTTTGGTGTACGGTTACTAAGCCCATTTTTAGGGTTTTTCTTTCCCTCTGATAGGGTGTTCGCGATCTTCTCAACCGTATAACCTCGACGAATGTCAGCATGAACGAATATGTCAACGAGAAATCCGCAGACAGTGGCGCCACGCCACTCATTGAGGCCGCCAAAACTGGCTCGAACGACATTGTTCGAGTAAGTTTCGTTTGTTTGTGGTATTTGAGCATTTCTGTCTGATTTCGTATTAAGTCTCCATTTACACGCATTCCATTTTAAATATCCTTTTGTCAGTTTGTATATTGCTTAAACAGAGGAAATTACGGCTTTTGGTTACCTTTACTTCTTCGAAATGACAGCATTGTTTGATGCCAGATCCACTTGTATTCCTGGTTGTTTTCAACCAGTTACACACCTAAAACTTCTGAGATATAATTCCGTTTTTTGCTATTGCGTAAAAAATTTCTTGTAATCGTAATGTAATCTTTGTTTTTTGTATTTTTACGGAAAAATACGACTCCTTTGGAAAGCAGTGGTTCTCAGTGAAATTCTAAGTTGCTTTACGATAAATTCCTCCAAAAATAATGGTATTTTTTGCGTTTTTCGCATTTCATTTTTTTACGTCTCGTCACTCTTTCCAATTCATCTTCTGCTCCTCCCTTTCGCTTTCTCGCGCTCTCCGTCGAAGTGACGCCAGTGTCACAGTGACTGCGCTTGCAGCTTTACAGTTTTACTGTCTTGAGTTATGTACTCATGTTCACACTACCAATCGAGCAGTTGAAAAATTTATTTGGGAATTTTGAGCTGGATACGAGGTCCATAGTCCAAAAATACATTCGGCTTGTCTCTAAACTATCACTACAGGCTTCGTAGGCCGTAGTTTCAACATTCCAACTTACTGCTATTACATCCAATCTTGGGCGGATAGCTAAAGCTCCAATTCCTTGGCTTCATATCGTCTTGCTTAGTTTCCAACCTTGACTGTGGACTCTTTTAAAACGCAAGATTTTGCTACTTGTTTTTTGCGCATGAAAAAGCTGTAAATTGTTTTTATAGATACAGAAAGTGTATCTACAAGGTGAGTTATATTTGGCAATGTGACTGCTTTCTAGTTCTAACATCTAACTTTCAAGTAGTCATTCTCTTTATAACTATGACGCTTCCTTCGTTTAATTCCACCTGTTCATATTTGTTTTCTTTATTTGCGTATTCATCGAGGCTTACTCTGTTTTGATGTCCTCTTAAACGACGCTTTTTTGCTCGGCTCAGGGATATTGCAATAATTTTGCTGAATTAGTCCTCCGCAAAACTAGGACTAGGGACTTATAAACGCGCATACCTTTTCTGATGCTTAATTTGTGCCCTCAGTTTCTATCCTGGACTCTCACCTACCAATGCTTTCCAACCGAATGCTGCTATTGCTTCCCGTTTCATTTTAAACAGACCACATGCCTGCACTAAGAATTTTTAACCAAACATGAAATTATTGATGTACCATTCCTTGCAAAGTGTGTGTGTGGTCATTGCTGCAGTTTAATGATTCATGAAGAGTACAGTTTTGCTTTTACTATTCAGACTCCTGGCTTCCATTGGGCGATTAAATGTTTCTAGGCTTCTAGGTGGTGATTTAGTACTCTTGTTCGCTCCTCGCTTCAAAAATACCACCTCATTTTCTTTCCCGCTACTTAAATTGTGTGTACTTGTGGCGTCACTGGCTGAGAATAGTGAGAGATTTAAGCCTACCATACTGATCATAGATGGTTCGCCGCGATATTCCAATCATGATTGTCTACTAACTGTAAGAAGTCTGTTTTTTATTGCAGGAAATGGCTAATGCTCATGGTATGCATACCTGACACAGACTTATCTATAAAATAGTAAAATATCGTTGCTTTTGTTACAACGCTTTGGGGCTTATCATAGAACCTTGTTTAGTCAAGCTGTTGTTTTTTACAAAATTGAGTAACACGTGGCTGTTAGATGTTTTAGGCACCTGATAGCCCTTATTAGCATCTCTAAGTCATGTTTTAACTCTTAGCTAATGCTACAACTGGTCGGCACCAAGTTACGCATTTGCGAACTCAGGGAGGGAAATCGGAAAGTTTTATGTATGTGATGCTGGTGGCAAACGTGTTAATGTAGTCAGACATTTAAAATTCTAAGTCCTCTTTTTGCCTACAACGTTTATCGGTGTTATTTTGGAGTCTTGTTTTAACAAATGCTTTCGTTTAGATGAACAATCATAAAAATATTCATGCTTACCTTTTCGCACTCGACAGGCTAACTAATCATTTCTGCATTCATTAGCCCTTATTGCCCATTAGTTCTTCTGGTTGATATCTTAAATTTTGTGAGGTGTCGTAAACGAGTTCGATCTGGTTCCCACTTTCCCGTCTTCATCATTTCATTGCAGTTGCTGTTGGACCACTTCATCTTTTCATAGGTCGGTCCTGAAATGGAACATTTATCCCTTCACACTAGGAACAGGTAGCATACGAATTCCAAGTGTTCATTTTCTTACATTTATTAAATTCTGTTCCGTCCTATTAATAACCCATCAGCGGCACTGTTCTGGCTTAGTGTCTGGCGAGTGCTTCAAAGGTATTTAATTGAGTTCTCTTTTATCTCCTTGTGTTACCCTATCGCAGTTGCTGTTGGATCACGGGGCACAGGTGAATCTGCGCGACTGCGGCGGGTTTACGGCGCTGCATCGAGCCTGCCAAAAGTCCTTTGCGCATGTAGCGGAGACTTTGCTGCGTCTGGGCCGAGCCAACCCCCAGATCAAGTGTCCCTTCTCTGGCAACACCGCCCTCCACGAAGCCGCGATGCTGGGTCACGCCGACTGCGTCAACTGCCTCCTTGAGTTTCACGCCGCCCCATGGGCGCGCAACGCCGAGCTGGAGATGCCCTTTGAACTTGCCCTCCGTTTTGGCTTTGCGGAGTTGGCCAATGCGCTTGCTGGATACCAGCCCGCACCTTCCTTAACCTCACAGGTAAATTCATATTTGTTGCCCTCAAGTGGATAGGCTCAGCGAAGTCTACAAGTGTTTTTGTTGGCTTTAAGTCTGCTATCCCCTTAACCAAACTTGTACCTTGATCCTTTGTCTGAGAACGTAGACGTTTTAGCGCCAGAGAATCCAATGAGTCATTTTTTATTCGTCCGCACTCCTTCATAACGTAGGATGTTTCATAAGAGGGTCGGACATCAGAGTTCGGAAGTATTCCACACACTTGCTTTTTTTTGCACTTTTTCATCCCTTGAGAACCCAATCACTTGAATGCCTTTAAATTCTGATAATTGTTTCGCGTTTAGAGTTTTTTGTTAACTCCATAGAGCTCGTCAAATATCTTAGTCCACAAATGTCTTGGTGTCTCAACTTATTTCCTTGCTGATCCTACCAGCAGTGCAGTGTTTCTTTTCCGAGAGAGGAATCACCCCCATGCCTCGGAAATCCTGGAAACCATTTCTTAGTATTTTTTTTACTTGGCTGCTAGGACCTAGGCTCCGTGTAATTAATAATTGCCCCCTAATGTTTGGTAGTTAGTCCACCCGTTGGCCCCATTGGCAGCTTCATCTTCACTTATCAAGAGCCGTGTTGACTTCTGTCTCTGCTTTCCTGTTTCTCCCATGTATTAATATCTTTTTCAGTCAAATTTACATGTGTTCTCCTTTCTGTTTTCTTTGATTGAATTCACTAATCTTTGCCATGATTTAACCCATATTTGGGGTTTATCGGGGACCACTCTAAGGCCTTCTTCGAAAGAATGGGCTTTGCGAATTCTCCTACTATCTTTTAGTGTGAATCACTTCAACAGTTATGGTATCATTCGAAAAAATTCGTGTTTTTCATTTATTCACGTATGGGTGCATGAGTACACTTCACTGTAGAATGAGTTCCATGAACTCATTGAACAATCTTACTAGCTATCATTCTGCCTTCGCTGTTGCAGGAGGGTTAAACCAGTTTTGTGTCTTTCAATTCTGGAAATAAGCCTGTAATTTCCTACGTATACTAGGTCTTTCTCGAGCTAATCTTCAATGTCTCTTAAACGTGCAGACCCTCTAGTGTTCACAATCCACCTGTCTTACTGCTAGCCCAGTCCTCGTCGTTCTTACTTTCGGAGGGTTAGATTGTAATATTTCTCAGTTTAATGAATCGGGATCTTAAGGATATTTTTTACACAATACTCAAGTATTTTTGCCAGTTTTCAACCCGTTTTCCCATCATCTAAATTCTAAATTGCTTTGGTATTTGTGAACCTTGGAGGCTCGTTTTGGGTGTCTTTCAGAGACCAGCCTATATTGGTTCCCAGCTATCTGGGTTAGTCTTCTTTCTGACTATCAGCCTAGTCTTAGCCCCAATGATAGTCTCATCCTTTTTGCAGGAGAACAGAATCACTTATGTTTGCGACAATCTGGGCGACCATTCATAATTTATCTTTCCCATTCATTTACGTATCAGTTTCCTTCAGGATATGCCAAGAGCCTCTTAGAACCTGTCTATAAGTACTGTGGATGAACCGTTTAAATCACTCAAGATACCCTTGATATTGTTAATCACCTATCATTCACATATTCATCTTTGTAACTGTTGCAAATTGTAGTGTGGTAACTACGTAAACATTCTCGTGTTCAGAGCTGTCATGTCAAGTATGGTCAATTCGGACGCTTCGGAATTGCTCAGCACGAGCAGTTGAGCCGTTCTTAGAAACTACTTTTATTTATATTTAAAAAGATTTAATCAATGCCGTGGTTCAAAGATAATTTCGTATCCTGTATTGAAGACGCCTCCGCATCATCAAATCCACAGTATGTCGTGCAAGATCCTTTCTGTCCTTTTTACTCTGTGCTGGATATTATGCGTTACTACGGATATAGACCCTACCAATTGACAATTTGATTGTTGTGGATTATCTATGTATTTTCAAGATCGGAAGTTCACATGAGTTATATTGGTGTCCTAGTGATCATCAATGTTTAGGTAGCTGGATTGGTTTATATACCTTATTGTTGTTCTTGTCTTCATCCGCCTCCTATCTCTGAACGGGTTTCTCCCTTAGCATTATGTGCTGCCACATATCTGGTACTTTCCGAACCCTTAACGTATTTTATTTCCTTCTTGTTCGCAAATTTTGCAGCTGACACTTTGAAATGTTGCCCTCTAATCCATTGCCTCTCTCGAGTTCACTTGCCAGTAATTAAAGTTGACCCTCCAAACTGGGTTGTAGGCCACTTGTAGTACTTCGAGTTAACCCTGAAGCCGTAATAAGCTAAAGCACCGTTAAAAACACATTACTAGCGTACAGAATTGCTGGGAGGCTACTACTTTGGTCCGAAGGCCACGCCACGGAGCTGACGTACAATTTTTGCAGACTCAAGGGCACACGTAGTTGAAGTAAAGAAGCGGATCACTACACACTCAGCACTTTATTTTCGACCATTGCTGTCACGTCCCCTTCAGAAACTGTTCACTCTACCTTACTTGGCGACATTTTAGACCTTGGAAAGAAAATATGTCTTATTCTTCAGTTAGATACTATTCCACTAATTAGTGGTCGAAACACACAGCACTTTTAATTAGTATCATCATTAGCCTTTTCATTTATTAGGAAAATCCTGACCTCAAGGGCAACTGAAATGTAACATACGCTTCACTGTCTTGGAGTCCCGAAAACCATTTCTCAACTCCACTCACTCCCTCACGTCTTCTAAACTTTTCAAGGCAAGCATGCCCCTTGGTTATTCCTCAAAATGAAAAAGCATATTTGTTTTTTCTTTGCGAAGCATTTGCTATTTTTTAAAGTATGGTTTCGGTGATGGCACTGCGAAATGGTTGAACCCAACCGATTGAGTTGTTCTTGAGTACTCACTTGTTAAACTATCTTCTGCCGCAGCTTTCTTAGTGTTACTATAATCACGTACTTATCACAACGGCTCCTATTACCGAGCAGAAATGCTTTATTAGTGCTCTCACCTTTACGTGGTTATTTTAGACCATCTGTGTGTTGCCAGGGTTACTAAATCCACGATTTTATGATATTATTTTCCTATTAAATGGATGGCTGCTTCAAAATCGTGAAAATAAGTCGTTGATTCCATCCACTTTCTCAGATATTTTGGTCATTTTGGGGCTAGCATACGTTACTACTTGAAAAATAGGACTTTGGCATATATCACCTTGTGGTTTCTTTCGGTTCCTGAAAGCAGCGCCAATTGCACAATTCTTGGACACTCGTATGAATAAAATTTCATGAATTGGAGCCAGTTGTTTTCTCCACGTTGCACCTCGCTCTGACTTTGTCGTGTTTACTTCTATCATGGCTACTACTTAATCCCATTTCCACTGCTTATTGTCATGGAGCAACATCTCTTTAAATCATATATGTGGCCTTTTTATTTGATAGTATACTCGTCACTTAGGAAAACCGTATATTTTGCAAAACATTTATTGTTCCGGTCGTTCTTCTATTTACCGAATGTTTCCCACCTCGTGGGTGACATTTTACTGTCTTTCAATGCCCACTTTTTAAACCCTGGGGAACTTTTTTTCCATTTTCTTGTGTATCCCTTATTTTTACCTGTCACAAGGCAGTGCCCAGAAGTCTTTTTTGGTGATTCATCCAAATTTAATATATCATTGTCACTTCTGGTGCTGGCACTTAAAATGGTTTAGCCCAACTGGCCAAACATATTGCCCAACTGGGCCAAGTGGTTCATATCGTCCACACTTAATCATACTACCTGGGACGTAGCCAATGTATATTGGTGAACTAAGTACCTTATGTTCTTCTCGATCACACATTTAGTACTGTTCACGGTCTGTTTATTCTACGCTAATTTTTCCTTATTACGGCAAAATTTGAATATTCCCATCTTATGTGCAACGTGGTTGGACCGTTGTTTTGCGATCAGGAAGACTAATTTTTGCTCCTCTCCACGTCCTCACGTCCTTAGTTTTTCGTGGAATGGCTTTATTCCTCTATAGTTTAGACGGGCATAGTTCTGACGATTCCTCCAAGTTCAATAGGTCAATTTTTATCCTCTCGCATCCTTTAACTTTTCCCTAGCTTTCGACTTATGATCTCGGCACCGATGCGCCAGAGTTGTTTAGTTCAATCGAACGCTCCCTCACTAAATCATCTTCCAAGAGAAGTACAAATGTGAAGTAGAGTCGGGTCTTCATCACTTTTTTTGTTTCCATTTCACGTACTTTCCTTCCTTAGTCACTAAGACAATGATGTGTTATTGACGTAGAACAATTTGTTTTGCCCCCAAATTGTGATTTCGGTATGGCTATGACAAATAGTGGTATTTTCATTTTTTCACTACTTATTAATGTCTTTAGATTCGTCATGGGCTAGCTCTTACTCTCATATGTATAAACGCATCCTCGATGATTTCTTCGCATCCACGAAATCAGCTTTTTGCGCTTTACATTTTTCGGTTACTTCCGGTTCAAAATTCCAGTTAACGTAATCAACCGAGTCGTTTTTGAACATCCATTTGTTAAGGTACCTTACAAGATTAGAGTTGCTTCCAATTTGTCCGGAAGTATCACACTATCCAATATTTGATTACTATCTTTAGTGGCATTTCCGGGTTCCTTATTGAAGGTAAATAGCTTTTGTTTCCTTTATCCGCACATTTTGATCTAATCCCTCCCGAGTTATTTTTGAGGACTTAACAAGGCGTACCATTGCATGAGGTTTGTTATTAGCGTTTAGAAAGGAGGAGGAACTATGGACTTGGAAAAATGCTTCGGACACTAAGGTAGTGATAGGACCTGGAAAGTTTGAGCCGTCAAACAGTGGACGCCCTTGTTGTTGCCTTACTGCTTTTGAGGTAGCGAGCCTTGTGAATTGTCGTTAACCACAAGAGCGGAATGAAGTTGGTACTATGATCTGTCATCACGGAGGAGTTACTTTTTCGTTGTGCTAGGGATTCTTGAATATCCTAATCCATACAGGGTCAGTCGCTTCGGAAAGGGATGAACTCGGGCTTTAACGGTGAATGTTGACCTTGCTTTGCAGTGAGCGTGGTTCAGGCGCCAATCACTTTTCGTAATAATAGTTGCCTCAAAGAAGCACATCATCCTGGAAGATCAAGTAAATTTATTGCATGTTTGTGGGAAGCAATGCGCTTTCACTGCACATGATGGTTTAATCACTTTGTTTTGTCTGGGTCCGATTAAATTCGCAGAGAGCTTATTGCTTTCCTTCTTCCTTTTATTGGTGTCTCGACACAGTCGGACTGGTTCCATCCCTCACTGTCGAAAGGAGAGACGGAGCGCGTGTTCGCCTCCAGCTCGGCGATGCAGGATGGCGCCTTTTTGGTGCGGCGCTCCTCCCAGTCGGAGCGCAAGTTCGTTCTCGTCCTCTACTACCAGCGCCAGAGCCTAAAGTACCAAATTGAGGTGGTTGACTTCTCCTTCCACATGGACACCAAGGAGGCTTACTTCATTGATAAGGTGCCTCATTCTTCGTCCACTTTCTTCTCCTTTTCGCCTTGAATGCTTCATTTAGCCGTGCAAATTACGTGTTCAAGCCTAACGTTCCCGTTTGTACTACTTTATACGATTCATTCATACTTTATAGTGTTGCTACTGTTTACTATCTTTTTGGTGATGTTTTTTCACAAAAAAATCACTTGAAGTCTTACAAAAATCCATCTCTTATAATAATTCTCCTTGTGGCAAATTCGTTTGATTAATGTTGGAACCTGTACAAACTGTTCATAGGGGCACTTATTTCTGATTTAACGAAAAGCAGGATATTTCATCCTTGTATTTCCGGTCAAAGTGTGAACTTCCTAAGCGAATATTTTACCACTTGGCTTCTTCGCACACTATTTTTAACCACCACCAACTAGCTATCTGCTGGGCAATGCTTCTTCCTCTCCATTCGCGTGTATCAGTGAGCCTTTTTTCCTGGAATAATAAACGTGTCCCACATTTGTGTCTGGTTTTGTGAAAAAAAGGAATACTGTACCCTGCCAGTTGCTAGCTCTAGCCCGGAGACATTTTCGTTTTTTTTGCACGGAGCTTTCATAAAGTCAAGCCTTCAGGCTCTTAAATCTATCAAAGCAGTCGAAGCCACCCTAACCTTTACGTCAGTTAAATTGTCAGTTTCACAGTAACTTTTCCTTAAAATAGAAATGTCACACTGCGTTTGGAACATTGGATTTGTGAAGTCTTTATAAAATTCAAATTATTTTTTGTTTACTTTAGTCTGCAGTGATGTGTTTGAATCACAAGTGTCGATTAGACGTACCGCTTAAACTGAGGAAGTTATTCATCTTACTACATTTGAAACTTTTGCTCGTATCCATTTTTTGCTGGGAGAAATAAAGTTAGAAGGTTCGGTTGAGCGCTAATTTGTGTTAACATTCCTTCAAATGAAAATGCTTTTTAAATGATTCATTGCTGTTTGCAAATTCCACACTATTCTCCAGATGTATCCGGGGCCTATTCGCAGTCATTCCATTAAGCATAGATACATTCGCCTACGTGAAGGTGATTTCCCCGATTCCATCCACCACGACTGTTTACCTTCATTTCTCGACGCGTTAGTCTAGCCGTGCCTGCTTAAAGCCAACCGCGGCTGACTGGTTGGCTGATGAATGAGGGCTGACCGGTCATCTATTTAACGAGTGGGGTTTTGCGTGTCTACAAAAGCGCTCGTGGTGCAGCGGCTAGCTCTCACACTGACGTCAGCAATGGCATCAGTACGCTCTACGTGTCGGCATCGCACACAAGTCGAAAGTTGATTGGCTTTGTTATTGTTACCATCTTCATCACCATTCCTGCTCGTTTTGCGATCTTCGTTGTTTTGGCGTCTTAGGAGGCTGTACCTAATTAATCCTCGTTCTTTCACTGGTCAGGGCCTAAGAAGTGATCTTTGTAGAACCCACCTAAGCGCTGACTTCAAAGTTAACCCCTTCCTCTACCTGAGGGCTGATCCACTTTAGTGTCGTGATTCTTGTACTTGTTCAGATACTAGGCCTGTGTAGGCCTCATGGATCTTGCAAATACTCTTATTGGCTATCCATCTAATCATCCTTTGACTTCATAGCTAGTCTGACCATTTCAGTTCGTTTTCACTCCTACTATTATTCTCGTATTATTTGGTCTTGTGTGCGTTAGCCAACTCTCACTAGGTGTCGTCGTCGGGCCGTGCTTTTTACGCACTTTGAACTACGTCTTATTGACCATGCCAGCAAGCGCACTCGAATATTACAATTTACTTTATCAATTGGACGCAACTCCGGCCGACAGCTGTTGGCACGCGGGCAGGTTGAGGGGGTGGACTTGCGACCCGACTGTGCTGAATAAACACAAACAAGCACATCGATGGCAAAAAACAACGCTGCTGATTCAATTCCTCCTTGTGTCAGTCATTTCCTTTTCTTTCTCTACCTCTCGTGAAGAGGTCACTTTAATCAGACGTAACCGGACATTGTCTGTCTTTTGCGAAATTTGGGCCCACGCTGGTCAAATGCATTCAAAACTCAAATTGACACTGATACGCTTCGAAGTCTTAGGTCTTTGATAGTATCTAACTCTTTCATTTTTTTAGTTGACTTATTTTCTATACCATTATCGAAAGAATCCGTTCAATTGTGGCTTAATTTTTTTCATGCTGGTGTAAAGATACTTGATAGTTCAAATGAGGTTTCTTGCTCAAACATCGAGTTTTGGTAATGTGGACCGTTTTTGTGAGCAATGAACTATCGGGACCACCAGTTAATTGGATCATTAAGGTCAGTAAGCTCCCATAAAACTCGTGTTAATAAGAATTATTTACTTTAGATGTCGCACAGATCCCTTCGGGACTCTTATAGGCGCGTACCTACTCTAGTCTCTAATGTTAGAGTTTTGCTCCGGATTGCTTTACACCTTTTGTTCAGTTAATCTTGTTTTCCACTGCGAAATAATTATGCATCTCTCTCTTTGCCCACGCTTGTGCCAACCCTGCCGAGGCCATTTTTTAAGCCCCTGTAGTGGCAATTTTATGATGGGATGTAAACGCTTCCCAATGGGTAATTCTTCTAAGGCTGCCCAGGGAGTCTTGCGTTTCGGTTGTTCCCGGAATTGATCGTCGTTCTTCAAACTTTAAGCTTATATTGAAGTATTCGGTTCCTATGCGTCGAAACTTTTGAAAGGTATATCTTTACTAATATTGTTATAAACACAACAAGTGGTAAAATAAAGAAATGCTGGATGAAGCAAGTTTTCGTGCCTAATTTATTGAGGTTTCCGTCTACTTTTTGTCATTTTCAGGGCAAGTGGTGGCTATCGCATGTTTCCCCACCTTTTGTCCCCTTTTGCGTGAGCTGTGCTCTGTGGCGCTGTTGCCCCACCCACTGGTGGCAGCAGTGGCCCAATTGGAAAAAAAGACGGATTATTAATGCCTGCTTCCAACATAGGTTGCCCGCCTCAACCTAAATCGACCTAAGGAATGATAAAAATAAAAAAATTTGTGTGATATCAGGTACCATGACTGCGATGGGTAGTTGTTTTTGCTACCCCGCTATTGTGTCTATTCGTTATAACCGACTCTCATCGCCTTAGATTTCCCCAAAGATGTGTTGTTATTCATTATTTCGTATTGTTCCCTTTTCTTTAATTAAACGTTTCAGAAACTATAGGTATGACTCTCATAATTTCTCATAAATGAGTGGCAAAATACAGTTAAATCTTGGCGTTGTAGGGTCCATTCCATCTGTCACTGGAGCACTTCATTGAGCACTATAGTCGCTTCGCAGATGGCATTCCCACGCATCTGCGCTATGCCGTATCTCCTACAGGCAGAGTGCTTAATATGGAGCGACTTCTCTCCTCCTCTGGCTCCTCTTCCTCCTCCTCCACACCCTCCTCCGGTCGCGAGTTGGTCAAAGTCGTCTCCGGTAATGACCGCAATTCCACCGGTGGCGAGGCCTGGGCTCTCGCTCCCGCTCCCTCTGGCCATCGCGGCGCTCCTCTCGTAATGCAGGGCCACGCCTTTGTCAGTGGACGTCCCAAATCCCAGTCTGCTGTGAGTTTTTTACCCCTTCCTTGACACGCGATCCTGAGTTATTCCACGGGCAGCTTTATTATCTACGTATGGAGTGGTTGAGGGTCCTACTAGCTTGGTTGTTATGAGCTCTGGGCTTCGTCGGAATCGCGGGAGGCTGAAAACGTTCGCGTAGTTTAATGCCTCGGTACTTTCAGTGCCAATTTTTCTGCTTCAGTTATCATAGGGTGATTGGGTGTATTACAATCACCTGCGAGATAAGAACGAAAGTTGAAGAATGATTTTCTATTAGAACAAGAAGGCGTTCAATTCCAATGATAGAGATGCATCCCATACACTTTGGTCGACCTACTTGCAGAACCGCTGGAGGCTATAGGTCCATGTTTTTAGACTTGCAATTAAACCAAACATCGTACTGTTGCATATTTAACTATCGCATAAATCACCCCTCTCTCCAAGCGTTGGACACCGTCGTAAAATCATGCCATCGGATGCTGCCGAGATGGAGGCGTACTTCAGAGTCAGACAAACATGTCTACTACAAATGCCAGTCGTTATTGGCTTGCCATTTCTTTTTTTACTGGAGGGGGGAAGAAGAAAATTCAGATTTCTAGGTGTTGCCAACTTGTGTTGCATTTTACTCTTAGTTGTCAGAGCGTTTCCTTAATCTATATGTCCTGAAGACATCGTAGTATGCCACACTCTCTTGTACTAAGCCACAACAGGAAAACATGAGTGAGACTGTCAATCATCTCCAACTCTGCTCTCTGGTCAAGTACACTTGTCGTCCACTTGATTTCACTTAGTTTCAGTTCAATCGGTAGTGTAAATGCCCTCTCACCGCCTCGGCGCCTTCTACCGTCCCTTCCGGAAACTATGACACACAGGCCTGCAAAAGGGGACGCACCCTCTTACTCATACAGCAGTCCAGTCTGACTAATTTGATCATAGTCGCCCTGTCTACATGATTAATGTCGGACATGCTGGTCTCTAGTGGCCCCTCCACCTGTACAAGCATTTTCAATTATTTGGATGAATTTTCTCTTGAGCCAGATTCCTTTTTTCTGTGCATTCTTAGGCATTAGTGGATCATGGCGTTTTGACGCATTATCCTCCTATATATAATGGTAAATGGAAGTTAACAAATCATATCCGAGTCACTTTGTGATATTCCTCCAACAAATGTGCTCACTCTTTTCTCAAAAGCACTACCATTTGCCACTTACACCTGTTCCATATTCCACAGCACCCTTTTTGGACCCACCTTTTCTAACTACCGGGCGATTGGGGCATACTACCAGTTGCTTCTTGTTGTTCACATCTTCTCGAGCGATCGTTTTAGACAGCAGAACTGATTAGTCATACATAGCCCTTTTATTTACCTGTGCGTCGTTGTAGTTCGGGTGTTGCGACACCGATCGTATTGCTGGCCTTTGGGAGGAAAAAAGTAGCACTCCTTTTTACGTCTGTGGGTATGCAATTTTTCAGTAAGATTCCAAATAACAGTTGCTAATGTGAAGCAACCCTTCGCTGAGGCAATTATTACTACTATACGGTAGGATGTGAAGGGTTGGGTTAAGGGATTATGGTTTATTTTGCGGCCCTGGCCTCGATACATTTAGGGCATTTGGGGTCACTGGGTCACCTCGGTGTCAAGCTGACCCAAACCTGCAGAGGTGGGTGACTAATCTATCCCCTTGTTCTTCCCCTCACGGAAATTATTAACCCTATTTAAAATCTTGTTATCTTTAAAAATGTTAATTTCATTGTTTTTTTCGGTTTAATTACTTATCCGTCTATACACGGTGTGTTCTGCTAACTGCCCAATTGCTTCAAGTTTACTCAATATTGTTTCTCTCAACAAACAATTTCTATGCGGTGCCTCTAGATGCAAAATTTTAGTAGCGTTTGTTGAGAAATTGTAAATCATTCGTGTTCACTTTCCACTTATGCTCGTTCTACTTATTCCTACCTACAGTAGCTATAAGCTACGTTCCAGTATTCTTATGTTCGTTCTCTGCGTAGAGCAAGCGAAATAGTAGTTCCAGCTCAGGCATGTCGAGCAGTAGTGCAGTGGTGGTAGCAGGCGTAACAGGGTTACCCTCAGGACCCTCCTCGGCGCTCGGTCTTGGTGGGTCCGCCGGCCCCTCGGGCACTGAGTTGCGCCTCATCCCTAGTGACGCAGTAATCCTCCTCTACCGCCTCGGAGAGGGCGAATTCGGTGAGGTGTACTGCGGCAAACTACATCTTGAAAATGGCACCACACAAGATGTTGCTGTCAAGGTGAGTCTTGATTTGATTTTCCTGTCTCTGTTTTGATGAGGAGAATAAAAATCACAGGCAAAGTCAACCTCTCTGACTTACCACTTCTCGGGTAATTTAATCTCCTCCGCCTCCCTATTTCTATGGCTCATTTGTCGGGTAAACGAAAGGGCTTACTACTGTTTGAGGATAAAATTGCCCTCCTTTTTGGTAAATAATTTCCTTGACAAAATTGTGTATATGACTGAGATATGCTCCCTCCCCTACGATACATCATTGTGTATGAAAAGTAGAGAATCATTATGCGTTTGCCTTCTGGTTAATAATCGCTTTATGTATAGTGCCCACTACGTTTGTGATAGGAATAAGAAAGCTTGCAAGAATACGGGATTTTTAACTTTATACCAGAGTTGTACGGCGAGTATTGTATTCTTTTTTCATTAGTTGTCCCATTTTTGCAACGTATGCTCTATTTAGAAAAGATAACCAAGTAGTTTTGGATTTTGGTACTCACTGGATGAGCATTAGAGGTATCTGTGCTGCATTTATTAGCTTATAAGAAGTCGCGGGGCAACTAGATACCGAGATGAGTCTGATCTGAATTTCGTCTCGGACTAATTAGATGGTTTTGATTGAGTGAAACAAATTTAAATTTTTAACAAATTTTATCACTACGTTGTGGTACAGTTTGGTCTCTTCCTTCTCAAGTGCACGGATCATCTGTTGGACAAGTTGGGCATATAATCACGTTATCTTCGCCTACATTAAACATAAATAGCATTGGAATATCTTTTTTCCTTCCTATCTGCGATACCGCTGTTGGGTAGGAGTTTTCCGTGAATTATCTTTAGTTTAATGAGTTTCGTCTACATCACGTATTCTGTGTTTGAGAAGAACAATAGGCGTGGCGCGTCCATTTTATTACCTATTGAGTTATCACCAAAAGTATGAGGCGAACCGGAATCCTCCATTTTAAGGTCAAAAGATTAACATTTAATTGCTCAAAAAATACGAAACAAGGTCATGTATATACACAATGAGTGATGGTATAGTTAAATATACACCAGAACTGAACACGGAGCTTTACAATCTTTTCAAACCTAATTAGAATTTTATATTTCATGACGACTTTTGGGTATATTTAAACTTGAGGCTTCCCATGATTGAAGACATGGTTGTTCATGGGAGTAGGAAGGCGTACTTGGAGCCATCACCCACTTTCCTTTGGGGACTTTGTCCTACACACCTTAAGCACCATCGATTTGGTTTTGAAGCACACTCCTTATTCTTTCTCGTTTCTGTTACCATTGATGAGTGAAAGTGAGTCTGGGTTTACTGCCTGGATCTGTCTTCGCAGAAGTAAGGTTAAAAGGACCCCTTCGATGTACCATATAATTTTGAATTCTTCACCCAATGGAACTTATTCGCGATCACTTTGTACCGCTCCGAGACTTTCCTAAATACTTCTCATACTTGGGTAGAATATATATCTAACATACAGTTGAGGTTAGGGCTACTGGCATGGCCCAGAGGCCAGCCTGAAAGGCGAGGATACAATGGCCAGGACACAACGTGGCCCCTTACCAAAATCGAGGATCAAACAACCAACGTATTGCAACTTTGCCACTTAATGCATGGAATATTTTCTGAAATATTATGCTCTTTGCATCTGCGCATCATAGGCAGTCATTTTTATGCTGATGACTGGGTCCAATTGAAATCGTTTTGCTATTACCGGGATAACTACAAATGGCCTTTTTGCCACCTACGATATGGGAATAAAGAATCACCTTTGCCGGATGGCTCATTTAACGTTGAAATTGTTTAAAGAGAGGGCGACAAGTAATGTGCCAAAATATCTCATAATTAGACATTATTTCGTGTATTTTCCAGAAGCCACTTTAGAAACCAAGCTTCCACGCTTTCATGGGCTCGTACCTAATAGAATTTGTTCACAACCAAATTCCTCCACGTAGTGATCGCGATGCCTGAGGTGTCGTACTTTCTGTAGCTTTGTATTTTAAACCACAAATCTGAACTCAAATCCATCAATTGACTCACTGGGAGAGCATCAGTGTATGGCCTAACTGCTTTACCCAAGTTTATTATTATTCGTTATGTTTTTACAAAACTATTTGAGTGAAATTTATTGTGAAACTTCGGATGGTTGAGATGTGTTTCCTGTCACTGCATCGTGAGTCACGTATTTCGACTCAAGTCTACAAATTTCTCCTTGATTGTGGATTACTTGGCTTGAGCCCTCAACCCATTTTTGATCCACCGGGAGTCACTTTTACTACGTCAGCACATTCCATAGTTGAGGTTACAAGGGATGCCTGATCGGAAGTTCCTCTCTTTTTGGGCGTTTCAGGTGTTGGTGCAGCCGTGCCAACGGTTGGACTTTCTCAAGGAGGCGAGCATCATGATGCGCCTCTCGCACGAGAATATCATCACAATTTACGGGGTGTGCGAGAATAAGCGCCTCATGATGATCCTCGAATTGGCCGAGTTGGGTAGCCTCCTGGACTTCATGCTCGACTACCCCGAACGCTGCCAATTGCCTGAGCTCTACAACTGGGCCATGCAGGTGCGCCTTATCCCCACTTTTATCCCAGTTATTCTCCCTTTACTTGTCTGGTTGTTTATCGTTGGTACGGACTGGTTTGCGTACCGCCCTTCTCATTCCCCCCCCCACAGTGTTTCGTTTTATCGCAACCAGCGTTTTTTTTCTCTATGATTGGAAGCAGTTAGCTCCATCTGATTTAAGTATGCATCCCTTACAGGTCTTTGCGACTACCAGTCAGCAATGCTGTTTCATTTACTTGATACCAACTGATTTTATATCACACTGATGGCCTTTTACCCATTTCTGTTTCACTACAAACGTTACAAAATACTCGTCTAAGTTTGTACCTTGTTTGATACTACTTTATGCATACCATCACTCTTACGCGGTTCGGTAAGCATTCTCCTCAATTGCTAGCATCCGTTCTCTCGCTCGAGGCCTACCCTTACTCTGCTCGCCTCACGACTCGTTATTTACCAGCCACCAAATCGGGAATACATTCAGGATTGTAGCTTTACACTATTTTGCCATCATCTCCATACCTCACTTTTTTACATCTGATAAGCGATTGTTGACCTCATAATGAACGCGAATTTTACATTTATATTCCTTTTGAATGTAAAATTAGCACATCTTAAATCATTTGTGGAGCCCGGGGATCTATTCCAAGATTTGTACTTGCGTTAGTCGCCACAACCCATAGCTTCGGACCTCGTTTTTTGTAACTATATGATAGATTTTTTTCCGAGTGGGATGTTTTTCAATTCCAGTATTAAAGAAATGTTTTTCTATTATTAACAGTTTCACCACTGGGGCTGTAAATGCGCGGCAGCCTAGTTCTCTCGTCTAAGCCCGAAATGGCAATTACGTGACATGTGCCACTTGACAAGTTGTGGCGACTGGTCGCAAGAAATCCCCCCACATGCAAATTGGCTGAGCTTTGGAGAATCGAGAACAAATTCATATTTTAATTTTTGAAAAGCATTTGTATTTGCTAAAGAAAATGATAATGAAACTGATATCATACTAGAACAAAGAAGCATCGGGATTGTGATGGTAGACTTTTCTCAGCCCTTGGTAGTAAAGGTGTTAATTGCTCGCTTACAACTTGGGATGTTGCATTCATTTGTTTCTGTCAGTAATGGGTGTGCTTTAAGATGTTGACCAAAACCTAAGGGACATTATGCGATCCTTCTAGAGTTGTGAAGAAAATGCTCTTTTGAATGAATGTAATACCAAAGTTGGCTAATGGTTTCTTGTTAATGCTTTTCTGTTCTCATTCCCCATCCCAGTGTTTTGCCTTACCGCTTTTTGCTTTGCATAGTGAGAAGCAGTTCGTCTGGATCCTTAATTTCCCTTAAAATTCTATCATGCATGCATCTTCCTGGCCATTGGGAATTATTGGTACTCATTTTTGAATCGAGTGTTTGATTAGTATTTTCGTGCGTTTTCACTTCTTCACCCCGTGTTTTCTTGAACGCTGGTTTCATGATTGTTGTTGATTTTATTGTATCCTGTTGTCGTATATGGTCTGTAAACAATGCAATCAAACAATACAGGCCGTAGCCGGTAAGTACTTATCCCTCAACACGACGCTTCATGGTCTACCACAATAGTCACAAAGTGTTTGTTTGGCTGCCTATATTTAACATCCATGTGGTTTGCTTTCTGACACCTAGTAAAAGCATACTAACGGTCCTCTGCTTTGTCGCTTGCATTTTCTTCTTGGTTGGGCACAGTTTGCTTAGCCCTCACTATCAGTGGTTTCCAAGTGGGAGGTAATCTGTTTAGAAATACTTGAACGAATCAAAACCTTTCTCATCATCTATTTGTTATCGCCCATTGTGATACCCTTGTGTTTCTTTTTTGGTTTGTTTTAGACTATTTTAACTAGTGACCTCGTATTTCACGAGTCTCGGAGCAGGTCTTCCCCCCTCCTCGTTCGTTAGCCTTAGTGTTGGCTTTCTGTTAAAGGTACCTTTTACCCTAGAACCAGAGTGGATCTAAATTTCTCATCATGTTAGCTACCACAATTAATGTGTTCTTATTTTCGTCATTTTCTCAAGCACATATCCTGTCATTCAGAAGCCCGCGAGTAGTGCTGGTAAATAATTTTGTCTGCCATTGCGTACCGATTCATGATTCGCGTTTGTTTTCCTTGGCTATTCACAAGTAATGGCTACACAATCAAAAGGAACTTAAAACTTAATTAAAAGAACCCATTTTAAAACCAAATAACGTCATAACGCCCTTCTCCTGGTTTCTGATCTGCTACGGGGCCCACCAACTGCTCATTTTGCTATAGTATTTGACCCTACGGCATTCTCATGCTTTTCCTTCTGCACTTTCCTCCAGCGTACGCCTATCTTTTCGTGGTAGAATGCAGTTTGCTGTCAGATTTTCCTTTTACCCCCTCTTCCCAATCTTACCATACTTTACCACGAATTTGCAGTCGGATTTGTAAGCACAACTTTCACTCCATATTTACGCTTTCGCAAAGAGTATTCTCCCCTTTTGCCTATCATAATTCAGATACTAGCTGAATACAGAATGCGCCCTCATTTTTCTTCAGTGCGTTGGTTACTCGTTTCCACGTTCCCACTCATCGGCTGTTACAAATAACGGTTTTCATACCCACTTTTTCTAAATTCCTCAAGGAATAAATGGCTTTCTACCACCAGGGTTATCTCTATTTTGATCTCAACAAGACACGGTTATTCTCTCCACTTTTCCTACCTTTGATGTCCATAGATAACGGTAAGTCAGGCATGATTTTTGTATCGTTGACCGTTGACTTGCAATGCAACGCGAGTCCACAATGAGACTTTTCTACGCGCTCTTGTTCTACGAAACCTTATAACATTTTTGCCTGACTCGATGATAATGAACACCTCATTCACTTTCCTGATAGCTTTTTTTTCAGATTTAGATGCAGGTTTTCCATCCAATGCCATTATTCGATCCGAATTCACAATGGGCCACAATGACCACTATTTTGATCTTTTTCCCCGAATTCTAACAGGATTTCAAAAAAAGCATTAGGACTATTTGTCTTTCTTAAAGCTTTACATAATTTGGAAATCCATGAATATTAATGCCCATAGACTTCCTACTGCTGGATTTTTTGTCGGAACTAGGGATGGGTGTAGTTTTAGGACGCAGCCGAGAAAATAATGACGTCCCTCTACACACCTCTGATTTGTCATAAACTTCATAAAATGATCCCCTAATTGGTTGTAATATTTAGCTTTACTGTAGCTCGCTTGAGCTCCTTGATGCGCGTTCTCCCTTCACCCACCGCTTTCCATTTTCAAATTCAATCTTCAGATAACAACCACGTAGTAATAAATGAAGCCAACAACAATACAATAAACCCTTCTACACATCCTGATCTGCCTTAATTGTTTTACAATGTTCCTTGATCCCACCGCATGTATGTGCGATGGTCTCATCAGACGAGACGTCGCCAGCAGCGTTGCTGTCCTGTGTAATCGCTTCAGTCGGCAGACGCGTTTTCAACCTCGCGTTGCTCACACGCAACGTAGATCGAATTCCACGCGGGAAAAGAATTTTATGAACACAAGCAGGCCACATTTGTGTGACGAGTTATGTAGGCGCACGTGGGGACTAATTTATATTCAAGTCTGATGTTGCCGTCGGATTTCGGGCTCAACGAAGGAGTTGGTAAACTAGAGCATACGTGAATACCAAGTGCTTGAGAAACAGCAGTAATCTATTTTTCGACATGTATCATTACTCTGGGTGGTGGAGAAGTAGTGAATAACTCCTCTACCTTGTTTTCTGGTCAGATTGCAAGCGGCATGAGTTACCTCGAATCCGCGGGATTTGTGCATCGTGATTTGGCCTGTCGCAACGTCCTGCTCGCCTCCCAGTCCTGCGCCAAGATCTCCGACTTTGGCCTCTCCCGCGCTGTGGGCGTGGAGTCGGACTACTACAAAGCCACTCAGCGTGGCAAGTGGCCGGTCAAGTGGTACGCCCCAGAGTCCATTTATTACAAGACCTTCAGCACAGCCAGCGATGTGTGGTCCTTTGGCGTGTGTCTGTGGGAGATGTTCTCGTTGGGTGAGCATCCCTATGCAGAGCAGGACAGCTTTGAGGTGTTGCGGCAATTAGAGGAGGGGGTGCGGTTGCCGCGACCCCGACTGGCCAGTGACGAAGTCTACGGCGTGATGCTCGACTGCTGGGCCTATGCGCCCGAGGCTAGGCCAAAGTTTGCCCATCTCCTGGCCATATTTCGGCACTTGGTCACTAATGTGTACGAAAATGTGGCTGCACCGTCGCAACAAACCACAGCCACCACCGCTGCTGCCGCTTCATCGAAGACCAATGGGGCAGCAGGAGGCGCGCATATGTAGAAATTAAGGAAATGAAACTTGATCGACGCACACGGACGCTCCACCTCTCTCTGTCCTTCTTCCATTACCGAGTGTATCTTTTGAATCTCCCTTTCTCCTCTCGCGGGGTTATTTTGATGACGTCGCTCCCGTGCATGTCTCTTCAACTAAGGCCAACAATCAAATATTTACTTCTACCGTTTATAATGACGACGGCACCGGCGATGATGGCAATACTATACGCATAGTACGCTAATAATTTCACTTCGACTTTTCAGTGTAATCGAGGTAGAATGCAAGTGGCGAAACCCTACTATGACATTCAAGTAACCACTTGGACAGTGTAGTAAAATAGAAATCTCATTTACACATTACATACTTCCGAGGTACAAATGCATTTTAGGCCTCAAGTGCCTCAAGGGAGTCTCTTGCGTTTGCGAAGGCCGCACAGACGGCGCCGAGTTGCAGTTTCTCCGAAGCACCATAAGACATACGATATTCCACGTCGGAGAGCATGGTTGTCAGCTCAACTTTTACGCTGTCCGGCATTTTCACTGGAAAAAAAGTAATAAAAAGAATGACAGTTTTGACGTAGCATAGATGGGGGCGTGAGTGCCCAAAGCAGTTGATTTGAACCCACCTTGCATGATTAATGGATGCAGCTCTGAAACGATGTCCTGCAGCGCAATGCCTTTCTCAACTTTCAGCTCAATTATTTCTAGAAAATGCGCAAAAAAAACGGGCACTCGACTTTTGTGTCCATTCAGATCAACTCAGCCATAAATGAAGGCGGTTAGGCCACCAACGTTACCGATGCGATTCAAACATGCTTCATAAATTCCGAGTGATCAACTCGCTTGTTATAGGTATGGAAAGTCTTTAATCTTTACAGTCTACAACTACCACACATTGAAAAAAAAACAAGTGGACCACGGCAGACAACAATCCTACAAGTTTGGGTGATGGTCTTGCAATTTGCCAGTAAAATTACGAAAAGAAACTATGTACGTAGGTTAAGCCGGACCTATTGTGTGGACGTAAAGAAAAGGTCTCTGATGAACAAGCCCTTAAACCAAGACATCTCTGACACCTAAAACTAGTGGCCCATTCCCAACAATCGCAAAAATAGATAGAAATGTTCGACAGTATGAGCGCAAAAAGCACGTATGGGTAAAGAGAGTAAAGCCAGAGACATACTTTTGAAAGCCATAGGAAGCGGTTCATTGAGACACCACTCAAGGAGGGTTCGCATTTCCCTTGGAGTAGGATATCCAGTGCAGGCGTAGACACTGGCCTCGTCAACCACTTGGCTGGACATGGAAGCGCTCTAAAAGTAACAATGTAGTTTACAAAGGCATCGAACATATAATGCAACATGGATTTGAGAAGACACCTTGCCCAAGATATAAAAGCAGCATACACTCCAAGTTACACTAGCTTTTGTGGAAATGAGGAAAACTAGAAACAAGAAACCCTACTGAAGTATCCCCACCCGTAACTCGAAATAGGAAAATTACGATGCTTTAGATTGTGGTAATTGGCTAAAGGTCTCAATTAATATTAATGCCTCAAAAAGTGGTTTGGTCAACAAAAATGCGGCTCTGTTTTAAACTCCATCGTGTATCCGGACCGTTGTTTATCCAACGATATCTTCATACACAATTTTGGCAAATACATTAACAAACCTGCAACAAATTTATGGCTACGCGCATATCACCGGAAGAAAAACGATGAATGGCGACCTTTCCATCATCGGTAAGTTGAACACTGCAAAAGGGAAATACAAAATCGACTTTTACGGCAACTGTGGGAACAAAAATTACCAAAAACGCCCACAAAAAGCAGCCATAAGAATGAAATTATGATTCATTAATAAGAGCTTACCCTTCCTTTTTGGCAATTTCACCGAGGCAAGCCATCATATGTGATTCCTGCACGGGTGGAAAACGAAACCTGGTGCATCTCGACTGAATAGCCTGGGTGATTTTTGAGAGATAATTGCAAATAAGACAAAACCGCGCATTCTCAGAAAACTTCTCAATAACTAAGATTGTTAATAACGTAAAAATAAACACGAGCAAACAGTTTTACTTCGCCGTAAGGCATTTTGTGCGTCCTTGGTCATTGCGTCAGCTTCATCAAGAATGATAAGCTTAAACTTTCCACTAAAAACGTGGAATTAAGCAAAAACATACGAGAACAACGTCTTCGTGCTGGCAAAAGTCAAAACTTGCTCGCGAACGACTCCAATACCACGATCATCTGAAGCATTCAACTAAGAAAGGACACAAATTAATAAAAATATGGTACGACTTGCAACCGATTCTAAGTCACATACCTCAAGTACCATAGAGGAGAATTCCTTAGGTCCGAAAAGATGCTTCGCAACGGAGAGTATGGTACTCGTTTTGCCCGTTCCAGGGGGCCCGTAAAGCAAAAGATGGGGCAATTTACCCTGATTGAGAAATCTACGAACTTTACCAAAATAACCGAAAATATAAACATTACTTGTGTTTATTATTAATTCATGGCCCATTAAGTCATTCAATGATTCTGGCCTGTATTTCTCAATCCTAGTTTAAACAATGAGCATACAACCTCCCACTACCAAGGCAAGTCAGAAGCCATCTCCGCAGATGTCTTCTCTTGAAGCGCGTTCGGGTTTGATTAGTAAAAGAATATTCCGCTGTCAGTATTTGGTGCTTTTTAAATAAATGGTAACCCTGGAAAATAAACGTCGAGGCGTAAAAGATAATGTTTTAGGAAACAAAAATCCTGTTGTGAAGCATTCCACTACATTTTTAGCACAAATCCATTGTGGGCAGTTGAAACAAGTAGTCTAACTAAGCAAGAAAAATACAGCGATGAGAATGTGAAAAAGTTGGTGATTTGCAAGGGTTTTTTCTTAGCAGCAGTTTAAATATCCCCCCAGCTACTGAAAGACAAACGAAAGATAAGCAGGTTAAGTCTCACAGGAAATTACGGTTTGGTGAGGGCATTTTCGGTAGCAGCCATTGTGCACTTGTGTAACCTAGGCTGTAAGAAAGAATAGCAAATCCGTAGCTGGAGTGATTCTATTCCTGCCTTTACCTTCCCACTCCAGCTCTCGTTCCCATGGCAGGAGTAGTCTTATCAGCTGGGGTATTTTTTATTGATCGCCTTATAAATTAGCGTACTGATAGGGGTTGCGCTTGCTTACGCCAAAAAGCTTTTCAGCGGGCAGATGATGGCCATTCCACATCGAAATTCGTTTTTACTGACTGCTCCTGGCCTTTAAGGTGTACCTAGACAAAGGTACCACAAATCCATCTCGTCCTTTTAAATACTATTCTCAATGCTCCTCTCTTAGTAAATGTGCTATTTCTGGTAATCTTTCTTTTTTAGTACACAGGCTTTATCTCTGTGCCCGATCGCGTGCACTTTGCTGTGTTGTTCTATGATCGGCTGAGTACGGAGTCGAGCATTGCAGACCAGATGTGTTGCATCTAAACGTAATGCTTACCTCATAAATTTCGAAAGTCCTATACTAATTGCCAAGAAGTTAGAATTTGTAATTAGCGCCTTGATCGATATGAACCACCTCAGATAACCCGTGTCGCCAAATCCAGCGTCTGAAGAAAGGAGAAGCAAATGATTCAGAGCCGCACATCTCTGTCAGTTCTACCTTAGGCACGTTTATGAAGTCCTATACCATAACCAGAATATTCCAGTTTTCTCTCTTGGTAAGCGGTAAAGCACGCACAATGTCAATATTTGCTCAGTTCACCTGGGAGCTCCCGGCATGGATTGAAGTGATGCGATCGCTGTGACAAGAAGGCATTTAAAGCTGATGCTACAAGTAATACAGGTTTAGCAGAAATCAAGTACGTCTGGACAGAATAAAGTTCACCGGCGTCTTCTTTTCCCTACACGGCCCCGTTGCTAGTGTAACTCTTAGAAAACTATGAAACTGGGTGCTTTAATTACCATATGCAGTCTCACTCATGTGACGCATAGTCACAGATTCTTACGCCAACATGAAACAAATCGACCCATCATCACTGCTTTCAACCAAGTTTACGCCAAAGACCCGTTATCCTTATGAACTGCCTTGATATTAGGTATTCTTCAAAATGTCAAACCATTGTACAGACAACGATTATTTGTAAAAGCAAGTTGAACAGACACTTGCTAGGGATTGCTTCCATCTACACCCATAGGTGGGCAACGACAAAAAGTATGCAAAGAACACCAAGGGGAAAGATCTTCAGAAACTACTGGATAAGCACCCAAATATACTCCATTGAATAAGTGTTAAGTCGAGAAGAATACGTATCGTTACACATACGATAGACACCAACTAGACTAGGCTGAGTCGGCAGCTGCCCCGAATTATACCGCCTCATTTGCTAAAATAAGACGTCTGAATATCTTCCTATTGCCCCACATGAATGACTTTTGGATTTCTAATACGAGACAAAGTGACTATCCACACTGGATTTAAAATCTGGATACCGATAAGTAGAAATGGCAGGGATAGATGGAGAGAAAATGGCTTTCGCATTGCCAGACTGGCTTCATGAATTCCGAAAAATGCCTTTCGAACTCTGTAATGTGACGGCCACTTTTCAAAGTCTAAATGAAAACTGCACAAAACGGATTATTAACAAAACATTGTAAGATACTCCTACTTAGCATTTTTTTCGTCGGGAGTGATATATGGGAGCATAATGCCAGTCTGAGATTAGTGTTGGACCTCTACTAGTAGCAGGTTTAATGCCGATTTCAACAACTCGAGGTTAAAGCCTCGGGACACACTGTCTCGTCAGATCAGATGGCACTTAATGAAGACCGCACAAGGCAAGTGAGGTCAGGGACCAGCGCCAAACAATTAGATAGAAATTCGGAGTCTCTCAGATTTTTAGGCTACTACAGGCGTTGTCGAATACTTTACTAAGATCGCAAGCCCGTTGCGTAAACTGATGAAGAAGTAGGCAAATGGAACTTCAAATGAGAAAACGAGCATAATGAAACGTTTAAAAAAATAAAGTAAAAAGGAAGGGGACACATAATCGCCTAGGCGGGTAACAAACTCAGCAAGAAAATGAAGCCGAAAAGTGCTGCTTAGCTTATCGTGGACCATTCGCTATCTTCACAATGGTAAGATTCTTTAGGCATTACCTAAAGACAAGGAAAACCATAGTGAAAATTGGTAGCTGGCTAGCACCCGGAGAAAAAACAACGAAGGAGGTAGACCCTCTAAAATGTCTGTTCCTTCTGGCGGATGAGTTAGGTTAGAGTGGTACAGCATCCTCCCAAATCGTTGTCTTTGATTATTCGGCAGCCAAAAATGGTTTTAAGATGGGGCGCACAGAATCCAAAGTGTTCCTTGGTGTTATTTTTACTACTAGAATTTAAATCCGGGGTTTTTATATGCCTTTAGAGATTCGTAATCATTGACTGCATCCTGCCTACAAGGCATATTTAAACCAGCACGTATTTTGGAAGCAATAAACACAAAAACTAGAGTTCTGCCGAAACTATGAACATGATATATGGATTAGAAAATAATTACTAAGGTGCTTGGATTGGAAAAATAACAAACCATATTTGATTACTAGAGATTCCATCAAGAGCATTACCAGTGACAGTTAAAGTAATGCAAATTTCCTGCTTGGCAGGAAAGCAAAATTAAATTATGAGGTTTGCTTAAATTGGTAGAACACGTCTTTGTGCAAAATGAACTAGTGTTTTTCAGTGTTGGTGAAAGCGGGTTCCCCTGTCTGATTATCAACCAGTTCTCCTTTACTATTTTTCAATTGCACTATACAAGGATATTGTTTGTATCTGTACATTTGATGCAAGAGGCAAACTTAGTGCAGATTTTTTATTGTTTGCTACTAATGTAGCTGTTTTAAAAGCACACCAGCAATAACGAGGACAACCTGAATACTAGTCTAACCTAATTAAATTTGTCTCCCCAAAACCGTTTGAATTAGTTCAGCAGTTTATTAAATGTATTTTGTCCTATAATCATAATGTTTATGTTATCGAAATTCCTGTTGTCAACTTCGAACGTTTTGTTTAGTGTGTCTGTCGTGTGGGTTTGGTTCTGTGTTGCTGTTCCACATTATAAACTTTAAGTAAACGATCCGGACACTTCCGTTTTGAATAACATGCAGCCTGAAGATAGTGCTGCGGAAAGTCCTGCGGGAGTTTACTTAGATGGATCAACGTTTCTCAACAATACGGCCATTGGTAGTATTCCTTAACCTGCACACTTTGTAGGCCTTGTTGGACTAAAGAACCTAGGAAATACATGTTTTATGAATTCTGCATTACAGATTCTAGCCAACTGGTATGTCTCCCTCGTTTTATTTATTATTGAAAATTAGTCACCCGTTTACAAAGTTATTTTTCGCACGTGTACAAACATTACCAATCACATCGCAAGTTCCACTGTCGAAGGCTTATCTGGGTTTGCTTTTCGAAATGGGCCATCTGGAAGACCAAGAGGATGTGCCACGTCCTACCTGGCCCTCATATAGACGTTCTGCTGCTTCTCCTTATAATGTCCTAGACGTTATTCGAATCTCGTACCCCATGTTTCGCGGAGTGTTTCAACACGACTCGCAGGAGTTTATGCGGGCTTTTTTGAGTGATATTCATGACGAACTGAAATTTAGACCCTTTGACGACTCAAAGTTTCCTTGTACACCGACCCCAGCAGGATGCAGTAAGTTTATCTTCACTGCGTACCCTACAACCAATTAAATGTAATAACTTTATTTGAAGTGTGGTATATTAGTTCCCAAAGCTATTTGCGGAGTTTAATTTAGCGCAATCTGTTTTCTGACATCATTTTATCTCTTCGGTATCATGATCCTCATTTTGTAACTTTGCTGAATGCATAAGTATTGACATTTACTATTTCTATGCTTTGATGAATAGAAGTAGCCTGGATACAGGAAATAAGTTTATGGTATTGCTATTATTTTGCCATTTCGTTAATGGTTCACTCTTTGAAATCCTTCTAGTTCATTCTAATTAGCCACAATATATCTTGATTTACCTCTCCACCAGCGACATTGAATTCAAACAGTGTGACAGATGGGAACAGGAACCTTTGCAAAAGACCGGCGAAAAACAAACGGCCTAAAAAGCGGAAAACGAGGGTTACGAGGGACGAGAGCCCCGCAAACGAAAGTAGTTCTCCTCTCTCCTCTAGCCCTGTGATGGACGTCTTTCAAGGTGGAACAGTGACTTGCATTAAGTGCCTCTCATGCGAGAAGGTAAGCTTCCTTCTCATGACTCCTGTAGCGCTGTCGGAGTTAATTTCTATCGCCGCATCTCTTTCATTCTCGCATAGATTTTCCATCGAAACGAGGTCTTCCTGGACCTCTCCCTTCCAATAGCAACCTCTCAATCAAAACCAAAGATAACTGACACAACCCAGTTGCCACCGTCGACCCCTCCTTCACCTCTTCTTCCTCCCCCACCCCCGAGATTACCACCTCCCATCACTACCACCGCCGTCTCATCCTCCTCTGTCGTAACGAGCAGCAAGCAATTCCTGGGAAACTCGGACTCTGAGGGCTTTTTCTACTGGGCTTCCTTCTACCTTCTCTTAGCAATAGCCTGGCTCAAGAGCGTCCCTCCGATTCCTCTGGTCGCCTCCTACATGGCTCTCATCACCTCCTGGGTCAAAAGGTCCGCTTTAAGTTGGGGTTATACCACGCCCGGAGTCGGTAACAAGTGTGTATCCTCGTCTTGTGTGAACCTCGTTCCCCTCTCCCCTCCACTTCATAATCATGCTTAGTATGGCAGCACTTACAACTGCATTCATTAGACTAACTTGAGAGATCTCATAAGCATGACTGGATCGGGTACAATAATATTGATCACCCGAAGTGATAATATCATTCACACTCACTTTTTGTAATTACTGGGCGCTTATTTGATTGTGCCCTATCATATTAGTTTGACAGCAGACGCTCACTCACCCTTGACTAACGGTTTTGCGACTCGTCTCCCACTGTATTTTTACTGGTCTATTTAATCATTTTAGCTTTTCTTACATCTTCAATATCTTTTCAGCCTAATTTGGAACCCGCAAATTGAGTTGGAGGACTGCTTGGACGCATTTTTTGATGTTGATGAACTCTCCGGTGAAAACCAGTACTACTGTGAAAACTGTTCAAGGTAGTTTGTCTCATAACTGATTGACGATCACCTGGTCCTGAGCTCGTGCAAATCGCTTTGAGTAGCCACTTGTTGCATTTACCGACACTTGCCGCTTGGCATGCATACTATCCGAAGTTGGGAGTGTTTTTCATGTGCACTTCGTCTGTTACCGAAAGCTGCCTTTGGGCTTCTTGCTAATTTAAAAACTTCCATGTGCAATTAACCAGGCATGCGGCAATTTTCGATTACGGCGTACCTATAGCCGGTATGGAAAGTTGTCGCTGTGCCTCAATTTTTGTAGCTTTCTTTTATGCATGCAAAAAGGTGTCCTTTTCCTGTAGTAACTGATCGATAATTTTTCCCTAAGTGAAATACCGATATCTGTGTTTCCTTAGGCACACAAACGGACGGATGCATATGGAACTGACGAAGCTGCCCGAAGTTCTCTGTCTTCACTTAAAACGATTTCGTCATGACTTTATTAACACCTCAAAAATACATGCCCCGGTCAACTTTCCCATGCAGCATCTCGATTTGAGAAAGTATCGCCATTCTTCCTGCCGAGATAAGGTAGTTCACTCCATTGCATTCGATTTTCAGCACTTAAACCTACTGTTAGATCTTAGACGGCACAATTAAAGGAGTGTTTGCTCTGTTCTGGGTTTTATGCAATTTTCTTAAAGTTTCATTCACTCCTGATTCAGTGCGTGGTGGTGGATTTGGTGCTTCTTAGGGTACTATTGTTCCTTAAAAGTTCTAATAGTCGTAGGATGTCTGTGAAGAATCTGGATCTAGCCCTAACTACGTGTGTGTCCTCGTAGGTGTGCGAATACGACTTGGTTGGGGTGGTGTGTCACTCGGGAACGGTGCGATTTGGCCACTACTACACGTACGCCCTCAACTTTGGCGATGGTGAGTGGTACGAATTCAACGACTCCTCTGTCCAGCATGTTGATGCCGATACGGTGACTTCCCTCTCTTCTGCAGCCTATGTTCTCTTCTACCGGTGCGTCTTTCGTTTTAATCTTCCCGCCTTTTAAGCCTTCGTAATCTTTAATAGTCTCAATATCACCATGTCACTCAAGGTCCATCCATCCATTCATCACAGAATCATACCCTTATCTCCCCCTTAATTTATTCCCGACCCATCCACCCATTCGCCAATCCATATACATTCATCAATTCCAGATCTGTCTATGCAAAAATATTCTCTCCTCGTCTATTCTTTTTTCACAATGCATTCGTTTCAGATTTATCCCTCCCAGATACAATCATTTATTTCGTTTTTATTCTATCAATTCATCCATTTACTCCGACAAGGTTCGATCACTCGGGTTTGGTCATCTATCTTAGAAGTGCTTTTTCATCCTATATCCATCTATTAATCTGTCCCAGAACGATGTATCATCCTATTCACACATTTAGACCTCCTATATCCGTACTTTCATCTTCTTTCTTTAGAAAACGTCAGGACTTCATCCAACCTATTCGAGAAAAATTTACAATCTCGGTACGTTCAGCTTCCTTATTTCCTCCTCTGGCAGGAGTGTTCTTTTCAACCGAGAATGGAATGATCCACGTTTTTTTGCTCGCTGGCAGGAGTCCCCACAGGTGGTCTACATAAGCGTGCACTGGCTCCTCCGATTTTCCGAATTCGCTGACCCTGGACCAATTACAAACTCTGATTTCCTCTGCAATCACGGTGCTCTTCAACCGCTTCTTGCTCCAGCATTTGACAAACACGTCGCCGCGATTTCTGAGGATGTGTGGAATTTCCTCTCTTCTCAGTGAGTCTTCGCGTCTTACACCTTTCTTTACCAAACATGTTTTGCTACTTTAATTAAATAAGTGAACCGCAATTTTTCGTGATTTTTCACCCTGTTAAAAATTTGAAAACGTCTTGTAGATTTTCACCCTGGTAATCCCATTTGTAATTTTCACTATTAGGCTTTGATCTGTCGGCCTTTTTAAAGAACACTTGTGTAATTTTTCCATGTGCTTATCTCTTTTGTACCGTTCGTGTAGATTTGGTGGCGGGCCTTTTGTCACTACCCTACATCCCTGCAAAGTTTGTGTGGAGAAGCTGGAGATACTAGACGCTCGTCGTCAAGCGGAACGGGAAGCCTTCCAGGAAGCCGAGAAGGAATCAGAATTCTTGTTTATCATCAATTTGGACTGGTTCAATGCTTGGGCTGATTTCGTCTGCCGTCGGGAAATCGGTTTGTTCGACTTTCTCCCCCTGTGCTCACGGTTTAGTCAAGCAACATAAGTGATTGCATTTGTTTTGCAGAGCCACCTGGACCAATTTCCAATTCAGTCATCTTAGAGGTGCCACGAGCGGTGCCTGGTACCTACCGAATCCGTTTTGGAATCGCCCCTACTAAGTATGATTGGCTAACTCAACCTCAATGGGCTTTCCTCTTTTCCATATACGGTGGAGGTCCCGAGTTCTCAATTAGGAACTCATCTTACTCAGAAAAAAAAGACATTTGAAGCAGAGGAGGGTAAAGTGGAGGCTATGGATGGCATTGAATACGAGCAAGAGGCGGAAGGGGATGTACTGAGGGCAGACACTGGACTGGAGGAAATCGATAACAAGTCATCATCCTCCACCTCCCTCTATCCGGTGAACGATGAACCCTTTTCCTCTGTCAGAGGTGCATCTTCCCTTTCTCTATCTCCAATGATGGAAAACTCCCCAATGGTAAGGCATCTTCTCTGACGCCTTATAATACAGTCACAACACGCTGATTTTGCGCAAAATGTGGGGTGATTTAACGAGGATATATGGTACTTAGGATTTTGAATAAGAGGCTGTTTTACTGACTTAAAGTTGCTTGAGGTTTTATAAAAATTATGAATCATAGTTGAATGGCATTCATCTGTCAGGACAAAAATTTATGGGCTAGTTTTGAGTCATTTTGTTAAACTTTGTTCTATCCCTAAACTGAGTTTTAGTTTCCTTTTTTCAGGCTGGCACTGGACCACTGGAAAGCGTCTTATTCTTGAAGTCTCCTCTATTCAGAGCTTACGTTCAACCACGATCAGCCTCAGTAGCCTGTTCCAAACCCGAGAGTCCCTTTGCGGGTGACGTGCGCTCCCAATCGGTCAACGATTTTTCCCTCTTGAACGGTGATCGAACCAGCGTGCGGTCCTCCTCGCCCCTACAATCCAGTGCCTTCGGTGACGCTGCTGAATGCACTGGGTTTAATCGGGACAAAAAGATGGAGTGGGATGGTGCGTTGCGGGAGCTTAAGGAGACCCTACCAAATGGAGCTGTGAATGGAGAGAGGGAAAAGGAAAAAGGAGAAGAGGAAGAGGAGGTGTGCCAAGAGAGTCTTGTGGCATAAATGGATGTCCCCTTAAAGAAGCGCAGATATGTGATCTCTCCCCTCTATTGTCCTTGTTTTTACCCCCCACTCCATGCTTTTGTATTCATATGATTTCAAATAGGGGGGTAGGCTTGAGATTTCTTCCCCCCTCACTGTCTTATTTTGAGATTTTTGAGTTGTTCATTCTTCGGTTAAGTGTTAAGAGTTGGCAGTTGATAAAGCTGAGTTTTACGTATCAAGTTTGATTGTCCGTATGCGCGAAAGTTATGATTGGTATTTCATCAGACGACAAAGTAGTGTATGAACACTTCCACGCTAGACTGGACTTTGAGCAAAAGTGCACCCAAGGTTCCTATTTTGTTAGCGTAGCATAGCACCTAGCATCTTTTGATGATCGTACGAATTTTCTTCTCTGTTAATTGCGGTGTTTGCATTTGCGGTCAAATGGGTCAGTGCTGCCGAAAACTGAATAGAATTGCAGCGTCAAGTGATTGGTCAGTAAATCGTTGTCAGGGTCAAGCGTCACATTGGGGGGGAGTAGGTTATTAGTGTGAACCTGCTAACTCTAAACAAGCTTTTCTCGTTCACAAGTGGTCGTACCTGATTATCAGGCGGTTAAGTTTAACCTATTTGATCTTTATAATTGTTAAAAATGGATGAGACGACATGAGATAAGTTTCCTATGTTTATATTATGCCGAAGCTTTCATCCATTCCAATGAATGCGGATTTTAGTCTTCAAAAATTGTGCCAAATTTTGTCAGGTGTCTTGGATGAGGCTAACGTTCGGTTTACTCTGGTGTGGTAATTTTTGGATCAGATTCCTTCGTATGGACGAATCCAGGCATCGTGCTCAATCCGGGTTTTTAGAATTCAAACAGAGTTGTGTCACAGCCCCGCGGCTACGCTCATTTGATTACTCACCCCGCTTTACGTTCTCGTAGACTCTGCAAAATTATCATGAACACAGGTTACTAAATGAGTCAATTGAAGTAGGTTAGGCTTGTTAGATTACTCGGATCAACACCCGTGTCTCAAAAGGGTTCACTTTTGTGTCCTCAGAATCAAACCAAGATATTTGTTTAGCCAACCGTGGGAATGGAATCGTCACGGCATTGAAATCAAAGCTTGATTTATTTGGGTTCAAGATAGGTTCCCGAATTTCCAACAATGCAGGATGTGCAAGACTATTTTGAAAATCCATCATCTCACCCTCGAATTGAGATGGGACAAGCCTGGTAGATGCATTAACTAGGTTGAATTTATTCATTAAGATCATTTTTTGGACGCTTAGAAAGTGACACCCAACTGTATTGGGCGGCCAGCTTAGCTCCTCACTTCAGTCTCCCCCAAAGTCAACACTAGGACATAAAGTGTACAGCCGACGTAGAGAAGGGCTGAGGGAATACTGGCATGATCCAAAGGCACTTTCGCCCAGCGGAAGTGTGAAAGCAGAGCCTTAAGAACTGAACAAAATAATCCAGATATTACATCATATTCCGGACGAAGTAGAATACGGGTGTTTCACATCCACCGACATTCGGTGGTGAGGCTACTGAATTTTCAATAGCTGAGAGTTATTCATTTAACAACTCTTAGTGATCCTGAAACAGACATATTTTTCTGTAAATGATTATGTTAAAATCAAACGTTAAAATAAGTAACCATTCACCTGTACGCATCTATAAAATGAGCTCAATTGAAATAAGTAATTGTGTAATTTGACGAGATAAAAGCCAACTTACAAAGATTTCACGTAACTTAGCTGCTGACTCCATATTGTTTGATCTTGATTGGTCATCTACTTGGTATTTTCTTTGTCCATAAAGACCTCACTTTCTCACAAAACCGGGCAAATTTATGGCCCTGAAACCTCAGATCCCATCTCATTCTCTGTGGCATCTGCTTCTACATGTACTATTCAAGCATGATGGGGCATGAGAAAGCTTCACGGCCTTTTCTAACCATCCTTTCTTTACATACGTGCCATTCGAGTGTCTCGAACTTGCCCCTTGAGTTTGAGGGCGGACCGCAATTGGCCAAAATTTGAACGCGTGGTCGTGGAACTGACAGCTGATTGGTAAGCTCGTGGACAAATCATGTAACGACCAGAAATTTACGCCTAGAACCGCCTGGGAGACCGCAGCAGGCATTCTCCAAAGCATCGTAAGAAAGCGATACTTTGATCACGCCCGTCCTCTTTGGGAAAGTTTTGGTAAGTATGAATTCAACTTTACTGTTGCCCTTATTCATTTCCTCAATTAATTAAACAGGCGATAAGTCAGTCCATCCGAAAGAAACACTTTACTCATTTTCCTAAAAATAATATTCAGGTTTTACTTTGTCCCTAATGGGCAAGGAAGTTATTCAAAAACGCTTATCCAATTTGTAGGTTAGCATCTATTAGCTGGAAAAAAATTTATTAAAATACAAAGTATTTTGCTGTTATCGGATAATCTAAATATGAACACTACTTTGCCACTTTTATTCCCACAGGATGAAGTCACATTATTTCACAAGTCGGAAAGATAAAATTGTAGTGGGACGATCAGATATCTGCCATTTTACTCTGCATATGTTTCTGTTTATCTCATCTATCACTGCAGTCATTCTGCTCTAGTCATGGAATACATCAAGTACAAGTGTAAATTACCTTCGAAAACGGCAAATGAACACTTTCAGGTTTGAGTAGAGATTGACGCGACATGCATTGTCAAAATGGCCGAGATTCATTGTTAAATCAGTGTCATATGATTGAAAAACGAAACATTTCTGCTTGAGGGAAAAAAAATCTGAATCGGAAGCCTTGTCACTATTTTGTCTTTCCTTCAGTTTGGGCACTTTTTCTGCTGTTTATAAGGTCAGGTAAAAATTAATTGTTTAGACACTTCGCTTAAGACGGTGGTTTCACTACGTTTCTGGAAAGAAATGGGCGTGAAATAACCCTAAAATTATGCCAACGCAGCATATAGAATTTATCACCACGTATCCTCCTTCAGCAAATATTTTAACTTAGGTAATTATGACTAATCCTAAGAACAATTAAATTCACAGTTAAACGGTTAATATGGCAACTTAAGAGGTCGATCCATTAAAAAGTTTCTTTTCAATCTTTGATAAAGAGCAAATTACTTCATCACGATCCAATAAAACCACTAATTATGACCGAAGTTAGGTTTAGCAAATCGGAAAAGTTAGGAAGAATTCACAAAAGAGAGAGAGAAGTAAACCATAAAAGTAACCAACGAATTGGATTGTGCTCAAACACGGATCGCAATTTAATCAGAATTCATCAACCCAATTATCATAACTAATTCCCATTTTCAACTAAACCACAGGATAAAAAACATTTGGTGATAAGTCATACCAAAGTCGGAAATCGAGAGTAAGGTTTTATGCAGGAGGAGTGTTTGATGACCGCAAAAGGGCGCCTCGTCACTATCATAGGCTATGTGGCTGGGAGGCGGGAGTAGAAGGAATAGGAATGAGAGCTAATGGCGCCTTCTAGTAAATTACATCGCATGTCCAGTAGAATGACTTTACACCCAATTTCGGTGAATTTATGGGAGCTGGCGTTTGTTGGTAGTGTTGGTGCTACCACCGCTGCCCCTCTCCCACCGTGTGTCTTATAAACAAAGCGTAGTAGTTGGTATGGTGGGCAACGGAGCAGAAGGATGCACCATGATGACTAACGGGCTACGCATGCGTAGGTGCGCCGGGGTATGGGGCTACCTCGCCTGCGCATTAGTGTTCACTCACCCCTTAATCCCCCCTATATGCCCCTACCGATAGTCGCCACACCCACGTCTAGTTAGTCGAGGATTCAGGTATCAAGACGCTTCTTTTCTAGCGTTCCTCCACCTGTTAATGAGTCATGGCCAGGTAGACAGTTTAAGAATCCTGCCGTTGTTCCCAGGTCATCTCTGAAGTTGCCATCATACCCACGAGCTTTGCCATCAACGTAGAGAATCAAATGATTTAGTCCGAGGGAATACATTTGAGAAAGCTGATAAACCGCGAGGTAAAAGCAATCTGTCAGATTAGGTGCATTTTCTTCTTCCAAGTATGCTATTAATGGGAGGCTAGGTTGCATCATTAATGCGAAAACATTTTGTTGTTTTGAACCGAGAATCAGGTGAATGCGTGTAGGCTCGCACACTGCCATATCAATTGGCTTAACATCCTCCCTCCTCCTGTAGCAAACTGGAGAAATTGTTATTCGACCCGAGGCTTCCCAAGAAAACCAGTCACAATTACTAGCTGCTCATTTTGACCATTCACATCCGCTCCCTATAAAAAAAACATTTAGTTCATTTTGTAAAAGACCATTTGACTGTCAAGTAATATTTTTTTCTCCCAGTCCTGATTTAGGCTTGATCACTCACTCAAGATCATCGGTTGACAAATAACTTTCCCAAAGAATAAATGAACGACAAGGTTGCAACACAAATTCCCTTTCTCCACCGACTCAATGAAATGAGTAGTCATTTCCGTGCTCATCTATGCCTCTTCTTCTTTTTTGCTTCCACACGCAAATGTCCACTATTTCTTCTGGTTTGTTGGGAGGGGGGGGGGCAAAGAAAAGAAATCCCATTGCCTACCTCCCTGCTCGTGGGGCGAGTGAAGCCAAACATTGCCGAGGTTCTTTACATCATGTCCATTTACTCAATCACATGGGAAAGAGGGTGTTTGTGTGTCATCCTCACTCATAATTTAATCATGCCTTGGAAAAAATTTAATTAACACCACCACGGAGGGAGAAAGACCACCGATTGGATAAAGCGAAGGGAGCAGATAACCCACGTAGACCCTCAAAAAGTGACATTAATTCAGGGGATTGTTCTGCCTCTCTTCATGCACAAGGCAAACATCAACAACAACTGACAAGAAATGCGAGGAGGGAGCGGAGGAAGCGATAAATTTGCGGTTAATGTTTGACTTGTGGGAAAAACATAGCTGACAAGCAAGATTTCTTCCCCCCCTCCCCCACCCTGCAAGTAAAATAAAACGGACATGGAAATAAATTGACAACTCAGAGGTAAATTCTGACTTTTCCATCGGAAATTAACTTATATGAATTGATGGGTCATAGTTTGTGGAATATCAGCCGCATTGATGTGTCGCATGACACATTTGAATGAAACTATGGGGAAATTTTGAAACAAAATAAACACTTTGCCACTCCGTGACTTTTGGGCTGCCCCCAGGCTCTAATATGGAGCAGAAACACCTAGCAGGTCCACATTGCTTCCCCTGGGGAGAATCTCAGGTGTGCGTTAATGTGCTCCACCGCTTTGGGGTAGATGAGGAGCAGGTGATAATCCTGCGTTGGAGATGTTTGTTTGACGCGCTCGGTTTTGCGCATTTGTATACATGTGTATGGGCACGAGATCATAGTGGTGATAAGTTAGCAAGGCTGTCCACTCCTCCATCGCCTCTGCCCCATCGAGGCGTGTGGTTAACAAGGTGGACGGTCAACCCGTGAAAAACGTAACCACTTGTGTCTCTGTCCCTCCCCTCTTCTCCTCCCCTTCCACCGCGCCTGATGAAATAAGATTTATCTCGTCTCCCGTGGTCGCATTACACAGATAGCCCGCGTGAGTAATCGCAAGATTGGCGGAAACACAATATTTAGTCCACACTTCATATGAGGCGAATGGATCTTACCTATAGCACAGATGAACCAAAACTACATTGCGGTCGTGGCAACAGGGATGCACCTGTCACTCCTAGCCAGTTTATTAAGGATACGGAAGCGGGTGCGTTAAAACGTGATGTATAGGACAGAAGGAGAAGGACAGGTGCGGCTTTTGTCCATTACGCCTCGCCAAATTCAGTTTGAAGTATTAATCCGATCAGAATGCTGTACCATTTAAAGTAGACAGACAATACATGTGTACAGTGGAGCTTTGTGAGTAGTCCTACTTAATGCGGTTGTCGCGAGATCAGAGCGACTCACCTCTGCTTTCAGTTTTATGGCAACGTCGTTGTTTGGGCTTAAGTCCCCTGTCTAGACTGTTTAAACATAGTGTCCGTGCCAGAAGACAGGTGTTTGGTTTTACGAGGTTAGTAGTACTTCTTGATTGATACCTCTGCGACTTTGCGGGTTCAGACTTGTCAGCCCCACATCTGGCTTTGCGGTCTCAAATCAAGCGCAAAATGACTTTCAATGCTTGTTCAAATACTACCAAGGAGCGAGATTGCATTATTTTTTAGCTACAGTTCTCTGCTACTTATACCGGCGTCCAACTAATACTTGCGACGCCTCAGCGTACAAGAGAACTATCTGATGACATCCAACATAGGCTAACCTTTCGGAAGTAGACGTGTACACGAGTAATTGTGTTGAAGAGAGGTTCAGCTTTTGTACAGCTTCATCGGAGGCTATTCACCGATTATTTAGTACCAGAAGTTTCACGATCTAAATGCTCACAGGGATGGTAGTGAGCAACACTAACAGATAGACGACAGTCTGTGGAGAGTTTACACCATCCAAACCTCATTGCTAAGGGGCTGTGTCCCATCACCGTACCAAGTGTGCTTGAAGATACAGGGAGGTAGTCATAAGTTCACAGGATACCTCGTTCATCATCACACGCTGTTGATTGTACCACCGCTACCCGCCATCTTGAGTAGTGGCGTGGTATCTGGTCTAGGCTGGCCTGCGATGGATGCTTCAGATATATTGGGACACACATTTTTACTTAATACTTCGCGCCGACATGCTTCATGGGCATGGGAGCATAACTGTGATAGATCCTTTTCTGGGCACACTAAATTAGAGTCTGGGTGCCTGTGGATCCTAAATAATTGCAAAAGAGAAGCCTCATGATTTCAAGATGAAGGTAGCTTGCTCAGGAGATGGAGGAAGCTCTATGTTTTCTAGCATCTGGAGCAGCATGGTTCGCCTAGCTAATCGCAGTCCGTGGGTCTAAATCCACCCCACGTCTATGCATCAAACAACAGGCAAAAGAGAAAAGCGGGCACACACGGGAACAAAGAACGCTGAAAGTGACCGCCCATTAAAGAAAGAAAACTCTCCCCGAAATCTGTTGGGAGGCATAAAAGCCCTAACGTGACCCGTCTCTCGAACAGTCGGCAATGTGAGGAGAATAAAATGGCAAAAAAAAAGCACAAAATAATATCAGAGTCAGCTGTTTGTTGCGGTCTCTTGCTTTACCACGGAGCAAGTAAAACCGTCTGGGTATGAACGTGAAGCGACTTTTTGAGACGCGGGTTAGGGGGGGTCGAAGTACTGGGGTGAGGTATAAACATTTCCACAGGGTAAAACCCAGGCCACACAACTTTATGGACTATTCTCTCAATCTTAAAAACCCGTTTACTGCGTCAACAGCTCCTTAAATTGGGTGGAAGGCAAAGGGGAAGTGAGTAAAGGGAGCGGGATTGGCCGGCACTGCTGTGAATTGGGTAAGTGGTGTAGCACTTGCATCAAGACTGAAAAAGAAGGAAAGTGGGCAAAGTATTGGTAATAATACAGGCAAATCTCGATTTGCAGCAGAAATCTGAGTGGGCATTTTCATGCCATCTTGTTTACAGAGACAATTTAACTGCTCACGGTTCAGTTGTTTTGCTGTCATTGTTTTTTAACCAATTTTAGCAGTTGCTCAAAAGCTGGAGATCCAATTACCTTTAAGTCAAAAACTTCCTTTATCCACTTTTCATCATAAATGGCTTGCAAGACAATTTTTATACAGTTAGTAGTCGTGGTAAACTACCACATGTCACATATTTGTGACCAACGGTTCAGATAGCGAAAGGGGACATTGTGTATGTGACTTTGATGCTAAATGTTTTAAGGAACATTGGCCATTAGTTCTGAAGGCACTTTACGAAAACCATTTTAAATTTGAACATTAAAACTTCATGAATGCTCCAAGATCATTGGAGAGTGTTATCCCTACTTTAATTGTTACTCCAAACCTCTCCTGATATTTAACAGATCCAAATCTATCTAATGGATAGTGGTAAATAATAACTGAATTACCTTTCAGATTAATGTACTAACTCACCGAACTCCATGCCATCAACACTACGAATGTCACTTGACGTCGTGATCTTCGCATTTCTACTGGTTGTTGGCGTCTCTCGCACAGAGGTGATAGAGCTGCAAACGAGTGAAGAACTGCCCGGTGGGTCTGTGATCGCAGATCTACGGGCCCTCATTTCTAAGAGTGGCAAATTCCCGGAATTACAAATGCCCGTTTTCAAGGCTGTAGGGTCTGACGACATCGGAAACCGCCTCGTTGATGTAAGTGGTTAAGGCATCGTCCTACGTACCTTTAATTTCTATGAAGGCACGTTTTCACATCAACTTGTTATTGTTCTTCACTTTCATTTGGTCCATCACCTCACGTAGGTTTACTCTCCATTACACGCGGTTAGTTACAATTTTTATTTACCACTTGTGACAGATAAGGGAAGCCCTTCGTATGAAACTAATCCTCCATAAGTGTCTACTGTCATAAATTCTTGAAGCAAGTAAAAATTAACTTTAGATCCACAACTGATACATTAGGATAAAACCAGAATTGAAACTGGTCTAAAACTACCACGAAATGTACGTAAAACTGGAATCCACGTCAGGATTGTTGTGTAGGATGCTAATAAGTCCAGGCTTCACCGTCTTCACGGATTTACCAGTAGACTTGTCTTCAAATTTCCACAGAAATTTAATGTAACCAGAGCTAATTTATGTTTTTTTTTTTTTCTAAATAACGGCAGCCAGTCTGATTTTATTGCACCGTTTGAGAGCGTCTAGGACCCAAAATTTGATCGCCTCTTCGATAATGTCGCTATCCTCTTACACTTTTATTTCTCCCTTTCTCAAGGCCTCACAATAACTGGGGACATAAAACAGTTTACTCAAAAAGGTTACATTAGTAAGCAGGTTTATTTTTCAAACATGAATAGTAAGCAGAAAAGTTGGCTTTTTGTTTGTGTTGTAGGTCACCTCAGAAGGCAAACTTGTGGTGATTCACCGGATCGACAGGGAGAAGCTCTGTCCCCTCTATCCCCTCTCTATTTTCCCTGGACCTCAATCGGATTTTGGGGGCCCCCCACCAGGCACCTTTGGTTTCTCATCGCAACCGATTCTTACCACAAGTCTTGCCAGTAACGGTCAATGTGTCATCACTCTCCGGGTAGCTGTCACGGAGAAGGGCGAAGTGAGCGACCCACTTGACCTATCCAACATCTACCAGCTTCGTATAACCGTGCTCGATGTCAACGACCAGGCTCCCTTTTGGCCGGAAAACTTGCAACGCCATGTCATTGAGTTTCGTGATGGTGATCCAGTGGGAAAACGGCAATCTCTTCCTCTTGCTATCGATCTAGATCAAGGAGAGAATGCAAGAATCTCTTATAGAATTGAACAAGACCTCGTTGATGAGCCTTCGCCTGAGGGATGGGATTCTATACCATTTAAACTGATCCACGATCAGTCTGACGGAAGTCTCTACCTTCAGACAGAGAGAGAAATCGATCATGAGGTGACCAGCTCATATAAACTCGTTCTGAAAGCCACTGATGGAGTGGATAAAAGCGTACCTGACTCTATTGTCGCAGAACGCTTCCTCCGTCAGCATACTTCTACTCTTGCTTTGACAGTTGTGGTGCAGGACATCAATGACAACGACCCAAAATTTACTCAACCTGTGTTTACACCTGATCGTCCAGTCTCAGAAGCAACACCAGTGGGCTCTGTTGTGCTCCGATTAAAAGCCACCGACGCAGATTCTGGTGAGAACGGGGCCTTCCACTTTGGATTTGCACCGAATGTTGGCTGGAGGTCCATCGATAAGTTAGCTCAGCATCTCTTCGATGTGCGACCGAACGGAAATGTGGTCGTCCGACGTCCCCTGAACGTTGATAGACGGTGGAAACTCGTGGATGATTTGAAGAAAAGCTCCAACTCCGATTTGTTTGGCAGAGACACCGTGAAAGGAATGGAATTCAGTTTCAAGGTGGTCGTTGTAGATGAGGCCGACTCGAGGTACGCTCGATCCTCTGAGGCCACGGTTAATATAGTTGTGATGGATGAGAACGATGAGGCACCGGTCATCGGAGTTATGCGACCTACCACTTCCGGTGAATGCGTGAAGTCTTTGGGAAAACCGACGGGAATTACTTCTAGTCGATTGTCAACTCAAACATCCTACGCGTGTGTCTTTGAAAATGCACCGGTCGACACTTTCGTTGCCACTATTCAGGTAAATCAATCCCACTTACTTAAAATATTATTTGGGATTTCTAATGCACACTAGAGAGTTTAGACGAGACAATCATTTATGGATTACAATTAGTCCATCCTATGCAAGTGGATTCCAGCATTTCCACTTTGATTTCAGTGGTGATTTATGAGGGAAAATGGATTGATGATTATTGCTTGGGTAAAAAGATATGTAGGAGTGTTTTATAATGCGGAGAAAGAACACAACCTCAGTTCCCTCGACAATAGTTGCGGGATGCTTCTGCTAATTACTCAGGAAAGGAAAATTTCCTGCAAAATGTAGATGTATGCATGCGATATGCATTTCATCATCGCTTGTGATTAGAACCTAGATTCGGTTGTATTTAAGTGTTGAGAAGAGATAGAGTTGAGCAGCCACATAGGGGAGAGAAGTCCATTAGAGGAGCTTGATCACAGACCAGGCTGAAGGACTTGCGGCCACAGGGGTACTGTTGAGAGTCAGACTGAATTACCACACACTGAGAGCTGCATAGCTCTCTACTCGGAACAATCATGGAAGTGAAAATAGATAGATTTAGGGTAGGTATCGTCTCCTCCTTACTCATCATACACACTCTACTGTTGCTGTTCCTTGACGGCGATGGACACGCGGTAGAAGATAGAGAGCATCAACCGGTGTCAGCCATAGCAACCTAGTGATCCTAAGAACTTTTACAGAGTCTTTTGTCACAGATTATTCGCCATATTCTAGCTATGAATGCTGTAACTGTAGGCTTGACCTCCCCATTCTTGAAAACTGAATGACATCGAACCTGTTGATCAGAATTGCCTGCCATGAACACACCAGAGAGTAAAGTTTACCGTAGAGAACATAAGAAGGAGTTTTTAGTATTTCCACAAAGATGGTGCCTTGCATTGATTTTATTAGGGAGAAAAGTGTCTCTGCCCCGTCTAAAAGCGAAATGTAATTTAATTTTATGTCTGGGTAATTTGGATGGAAGCGTAAAGAAGCTTCTAGTGTTACGATATTTCCAGTAACCTCGTCTAAACAACCAACAGAAGGCATAATTAACTGAGAGGTGCTGCACTGGTGAAGAAGAAAAAGTCACGAAGCGAGTCTTACAAACAAAAGATGACCATGCCAACGCAGTATAGTGTTTCTCCCATCACGGATAGGTTAACATCTGATCTGCCTTGCCGGCAGCCTAGTGCAGGAGGAAGGCAACAGTTGTCGGCCATATGGTTGCATTAATCTCACAGACATCGCATCCCATCTCATCCCTCGTCATATCGATCCCCCCCCCCCTTCCATGGAATAGGGCAAAGCAGCGGTTTTTAATGGCATCATTAATTATGACCACGCAGCGGTCCCCTGCTTCCATGTGTGTGTGGTTTTGCCTCTAGGCTCTGAAAGGCGTCCAGACAGTCCTATTTGAGGTTTTGTAATGCTGACCATTTAAATGTCTTCATTACAAATTTTCTCTCAAGTAAATTCCAACTACGCAGACGCTACCCTTACTAGGAATAACAGAACAACTAGCCCATAACATAGTACTTACTCAGTAATGGGTATTTACTTCTATTACTTAAGGTGAGTGACATGGACTTTTGTGGAGAGGATGAACACGAATGTGTGTTGGACAATAAGAACTTTACCCTGGTTGCTGAAGAGCACGCCAACACACGCCTATCTGCCAATCAACTTACCCATGTTTTCAATAGCCAAGCTCTTAAGGGTCCTGGTGTCTCCCAGTATGCAATCCTAACGGCTGTTGCACTAGATCGAGAGGCTACACCATTTCAACAAATCCAGATCCTTTGTACCGATCGTGCAAACCATCAATCCGTGCACAATGTCACTGTCCTCATAGGCGATATCAATGATCACAAGCCACAGTTCGCACAAGAAGTGATGACCTATCAGGTGCCAGAGAATTCACCGCCTGGAACAATCCTGAAACCGTTGTCTGTCGGTCCTACGAGAAATTCGGTGTCACTAGCAACTGACGGAGACGTCGGAAAGAATGGAATGGTAAAATACAGCTTTATTGAGGGATCAAGAACTTCAGAAAACTTTTCCATTGACCCCTTCACTGCTGCCATTTCTACTCGCATTCCGTTTGATCGAGAAGAAAATGGAAAGTATGTTTTTAATATCTTAGCAGTGGACCAAGCCGATGGTGAAAATACACTGACAGGAACTGGAACTGTGGAGGTCATGGTGCTTGATGTGAATGATAATCCACCCGTTTTTGCCCAGGAGACTTACACTTTCCAAATAGCGGAGAATCTTCCCCGTGGAACTCGTGTCGGTCAGGTGACTGCATTCGATCTTGACGACCAGGGTCCGGTCTCTTACTACCTTAGCAGTGATCACGACGCTCTAGTCTTCCAGATAGATCGAACATCGGGAGAACTGTTTACTAGAAGACCTCTTGATCGTGAAGACCAATCGAACTACACATTCAACGTGCTTGTTCGTGACTTTGCTGCTTCGGGAGGCGGTGTGGAGAAGAAGACCTATACAGCTACCGCCACGGTTACGGTTGTTTTAGAGGACGAAAATGACAATTCCCCGGTTTTCATCCTTCCTAATGCCACAGCAAACACTCTAACCGTAGCAGTCAGCCAAACCCTTGGGCATAAACTCGCTGTCATAATCGCCAGCGATGCAGATGAGGGTGATAATGGTCGCATAACCTACAAAATAAAAGCAGGGAATTCCCTCAATCTCTTCAGCATCGATCCTCAGTCCGGTCTCCTCTTTTTGGCCGATTCGTTGTCTCGCTTCAATGAAGCTACCAACACTTCATCTGCTGACGAGGCCGCAACAGCTAGAGCAATACAACTCTCCACACAACCAACAGTCCATGTAATTACGCTAGAAGCCTGTGACAGCGGCGTGGAGCCTCGTTGTACCGTTTCACCAAATCTGCGGATCCACGTACAACCGGAGCGAAGGTACAGACTAGGAGGCGAGAGTGGTGGAGGTGTCGGTGCCGCAGCTGGCGGAGGAGAACAGAATCATTTCAGTGACGGTTCGCAAAGTCATAGTGTGACATTACAGCCCCAGGAGGGAGATGGAGTAGCAGGGGATGAGGGACAAGCAGGATGGAATGGCATGAAGATCTCATCAACGCGTGTTACCGCTAGTGGACTGCGGGGGTGGTCGAGTGGTTCCAATGAAATCATCATCATCTGCATGTCGGTTCTTTTTGTGATCCTCCTGGTGGCTATTCTCGCTTTGACCATCCTTTTGCGTAACTGCAAGATAGGACCAGTCAAACAAATGACTGGTAAGCATAATACCTGATTTAATCTATTCCACCAGTGTTCTCTTTTCTGTGTATACTAGATACTAGGCAAACTACGGCATGTTTTTGACGGGATGAGAGGGAGGGTATCCCAAATCAGATAAGGCCTTTATAAAACCGCTAAACCCAATTCCGAGTAGGGGCGCTGTACTGAAAAAAGAAACTCATTCTGTCCGATGATGACCGCATAAAAGGTATACAGCAAAGCCTATATTTTTCCAGTATCTGATCAAACATGGGATATCTACGCAGTAGTAAAAGAGCCTGTTGAAAGCCCAGCGAGAGCAAACCTCTACACTCCAAAATTATGACCACAGTGATAGTCAATATTAATAGGCAACAGAATTCTCAATTTTTAAGTAATGAGATTTAGTAATACACTCAACTAGGTTGTTTTTAATAAGATTTAGTATGACAATCATTTCTAGTTTGCTGTGAGATTAAACCATTTTTTATACTTAATTATGGAATTCTTTTCAGCCAATCTGGTCGACCTTTACACATTACTTCACATGGGAAAGCCTTTTTAAGTTTAAAGATGCGTGAATAATAGACTAGCCTTCAGCTATGCTTGAGATAAACTTTTTTCACATAATTTCCTAGCATAAAATCCTTTCCTTGTACTTTTGTAGTGTCGGCTACACAACGAAGTTTGAGTCGTTCCAAAACGCCGACTTATCTTGGCACCATTCCATCATCGCAATCTGGTGTCGAAGCTGCAGGATCTGTAGTTGGGACACTAAATTCTCCACCACCATCACAACCACTGCCACAACTTGCAGTAAGTGGGGGTGGCGGGGGATCAGGAGTAGGTGTAATCCAAAGCCAGTCCGAAATGATCCTCTGTCAACGGGCTGGGGGGAATATACTTCCACAGAGTCAATCCTTCTTCGAGATGCCCAAATCGATGACTCAGGAGTTTGCTACCTTTGCGCCGGCTAGTCTCGAAGGCTACCAAGGTGGATGCAAAAAACAGGCCAGTGCTGCAAGAAGTGCGGATCTTCTACTTCCCGTCAAGTATGCTCACATACCAAATAACAAGGAGGTGAGAATTTGACTATTCACGTAACATTTTGCAGCGGACCCAGTAGAGCAGTCACGCGTTTCAAGACAGCTTCAATGCCCTCAAGCGATAAAAGAGCTGCTATACTGAATGCGAGGCATCACATTACCTAAGGGTAATAAAGGCTAAGATATAAACACATGGGATCCCTCCAGATCACGTGATTTTTCTTGGTGGTCAGGGCGAAAGTAACCTCCTTTAAATTTGTTCCAATGCCTGAAATAAGTATGATAAGTGATCCACTTTTATCTCTTTTTATTCAGATCACTCCTCAAGGCCAGGCTATCGACAAGATTTTCGTCAGTCACCCTTATGCGGTACCTAGAAACGATGCCGTCTGCTGTGGTAAGTGAGAGTGGCTGGAAGTGATACTGAAGCTAGCTTAACTCTACTACTGTGGGGGATTTAAAATTAGCTCCCGGAGGCCTTCTACCAAGTGTACTATTCACGTTATTACTGTGGTTTTACGATGATCCAGAACATTATTGCCAAAGTACCTACGCGAATGTAAATGAATTCGCTTACTGGTCAACATGATCCCGCATAGTCAGCGCGCTTTTCAAATTGAATTACATAGTCTGAAGACAATTGCATCAAAGTGAAGCAGACAAACTAGCGGTATGAAGTAGAACGTTTGAAACAGATCGTGTGTGAAAGTAAGGTACACTTGCGCCACGAATGGTGTTGTTTAGGCTCTAAAACTGGTGGTCGCACTCTATCACCATTCAGTACCCCACCATTAGTCACCCAGCGCACAGACCGATAAGAATCGCATTTAAGTGAAAATAAAATGCGTTGGCTACTGGAGGGAGGAGAGGGATAGGGACAGAGAGGGAGAAGGAGGAGGTTGGAGGAATATCCCCTATCCCACAGTACTAATCAATTAGGCAACTAAGGCGAGGATTTTTTCTCCTAGGCGGAGACAACACTATGGCATAGGCGAAAAAGAAGCCTCCAAGCGTATTGCTCTCGTGTAAACATTTTTGCCTCATGTAATGAACAGACATGTATTGGCGACGGGGCTATGGTCGGGAGTGTGACTGTGAATGTGTTTATGTACATGAAAGTCACACAAGCAGTTGGTATTTATGGGCAGAGAGGAAGACTGCACTCCCTTCCCCCCTAAAACTAGTGTTCCTTTGTAGTTCATGATGAATGTGTGGTTTGAAGAAACACACATTCATGCCGTGCGAGACTTCGTCTCAAATGCTAATGAGGCGGATGCAGTTGAGGAGTTTAAGTATACCCTCCCCCACCTGATTTATGGCCACATCAAGATTTCGGCATAGCAACACAAATTATTTTCTCACTATGGCTCTTACCTTGAATAAAATAGCAAACAATCAATTTTCCCTGGCGTTGGGGCATTCAACATACAAAACTCAGATGAGTTTGTGGATCCTCGTTACTGTTTTGTCATTCAAACCATCTGCCAATCGTTGTGCCAAGGAGTTACCCAATTCACTGTTGGAATGGTAGCTTCGGGTGCAAATATCGTACAATTCAATGTGCGTCAAATTGCAGTACACGAATGCGTGTAAGGCTCATTCCCGTTTACCTAGTCCACGCGGCTGTTTCAACCTAGATCCGCTACATACATATTTCGGCTTGCATTGACCCACCTTCTTGCTGAAAACTACTACTAGTTTTAACAAAGTAAATGTCCCTCTTGCTTTTCTTAGTCGACTCCCGTCTATTTTACTGCACCATTGAGGTAAGATAGTAATGAAGATTGTGCAGTTTGGGGAAATCTGCGACAACAAGCACCGAAAGGGAGCTTTTTGAATTCGTACGCATAAGTGATGGTTTATTTGTTAGTTCACTGAAACATTCTGCAAAAAAAGAGAAGCCATTTAATATGCAAACCGGACGAAAACAGTCAAGTTCATGAAGAGGAGGACATTTTCCAAAAACTGGACAGCCAAAAGTTGACAAATTCTACTGTAGCATTCCTGATCCGCTTTCTTCGAATCGGTACACCGGAAATTTCGAGAAAGCGTACATATTCTGCTTCAATTTGTTTGAGCAACACATTTTCTTTCCTTTTAAGTGGAGTAAAAACACGTCTACAGCATGTTAGTTCATCGCAGGGGAATTTGTGACATCGGCACAAGTGGCGGTCACGATCGTATCCACGCTGAATTACTCGAAATGCCATCAGTTGGCATAGACTGCGCCAACGGCTCGGGAATCTACCTACTCAAGGAAATTGTTGTTTTTTCCTCTGCCTGTGAGTATTCATAAGAATAAGACTTGGCCCCCTCGACAGGTGTTCGTGGTCAACGAGGTCACTTGAACTGGCTGAATTTACAACTGGGCTCTGGCATAGTCAATATTATTATGGCATTCTATGCACTTTTTAGGCATTCATGCTCTTCTTTCGAGGTTTTACTGAAACAAAATGAAAGGTACCACTTCATCATACTTCTACCTAATTAACAAAGAATATTAAATTAAAGAAGCCGAGCTTTTATGCTAGTTGCTGAGATCCATGGGACATCATGGAAAATTTTCAATGCGAAAACACAAAAAACTGCACAATCCTTTTCACACTTGACTTAGTATTTTCAAATTAACCTTTCTTATAAATTTTCCTTATTTGTGAAACAGAAAGCAGACCTGTGCGTAAGCGTAATTTAACATGAATAGTTTTGGAAGAAGGGGATAGAAATAAACCTTCATTTGTCTTTATTGGCGAAAATAATGATTTACTTGCTTGTAAAGTACCTTTAATTAGGAGAATGCCGCAGCATTGCATAAAATATCACACGCAGAGGAAAACAATTCGCCCCGTACACACGCCTAGGTCGTCTAGGCTAATCAACCAAAAAGGTTCAACTTGACATACCCCAAGTAGTAACACATGGGCAGGTGTCTTGTGAATCTTTTCAGTTGGAAATTAGCGCGCCACACATTGCGATGGTTCTCAAATGGGAAAAAAACATATTGTGATATTATAAAGCCAAATCATCTTGTTTCCCTAAATGTGATTAGGAAAGGGGAAAGGGAGAGAGGAGATTAAATTGGAGTACGTTTTCTCATCTCTTTGTTAGTGCCCCCATTAAAATGTGTATACTTCAAGTAGTCTTTTTTAGCAGTAATCAGGAGTCTAGTAGCGCTTCACCGTAGTCCATCATCACCTTCTGCTTAAACTGTCCAATGAGATAGTGTAATAGACTCAGTATTTCTCTCTTCCAGCTCTATCTTCATGTCCTTAAACTGAGTAGATAAATTGGATGAGGATATATTCTCTCGTTTGGCGATAAGTGAAGGGTAGAGATACTACAGTTTAAGCGTTTTCAGGATAATTTCCCTCCCCTTCGGCGGCCCATGACGTCTTCTCCGTCACGAGGTTCATATTTGCAAACCACCTCTTGCCATAGAAAAGAAAAATTTTGCCCAAAATGGTTGCCTTCACTGATTCAGATAAGTTGGCTTGTTAGAGTGTGGATAAATGTGAGGATGGTTGCTCCTGTTCATAATCACTAATGTGTGCTTCCTAAAATTTTGCAAACCAGCACCTAGTAAAGCACATTAATCAAGTCCTGTTTCTTAAACAGGAAAAATAACGTAAGAGTCACATTGGTGTCAAAAGTAAGCATAGATCCGTGAAAATAAGATCATCTGATTTAAAGTGAACGGGTGAGTAGTTTCACTACGGAGATTGAGTGAAACAATCTAAATTTCCTGACTGATTTGGCCCGTCGCCCTAGGTAGTCGTGCTGACTTAACAGGGGTTAAACTGATTCCACCTACTTCTTCTTTCTACACCGAGAGGCTTAAGCCGACCAACTGTCTATCTATTCCAGTGACTGCCATGTATCTGACAGAAAATGACAACCAGTACACCAAAGCATCAACTGATTAAAGTTGGCAGACAGCACAAGTTAAAAATAAAGCAGAACTAGAGGTAGTATGATATAAGCGCAGAGTGGACTGCGTCTCTCCAGCTCATCATACCTAGAAATATGGCAAATGAATCCCCAAAATTGATAAAAAAGAATCGAGTTTACGTTAAAACAAAAAAAAACACGGAAAAAACTGTACAACATGTAAAGGGTACCGGACCTGCACTGAGGCACGAAAAAGTGGACATGGGAACTTTACTCTAACGGACATTTAAATCATTGTCCCACAAAACGACCATGCATACGATGTCATTTGGAAGAGATAGCTGAACGGCGTTTTTCCTCAACCTATTCAGGGGAATACCAGGCATTGCAAGCCACAGGTCTCTACGCGCTGGAGAAACACCTTGAGGGTCAGCAACGCCAAGTCCTCGGGCAGAATGGTCAACCACCCCAGCTGAAAGGCTTCGGGCCGAGTACCTCCTGTGTGCCGCGGTTTCTCGCCTCCGGAGGACGTACAGGAACGCAGAGCGATGACAGCTTTCCAATGCAACGCGTTGTTGATGGCCATTCACAAGTCGCCTACACCTATGGCCGTTACGTAGGGCTGAAACCCAACCAAACATTTGCAACAAATACCATTGATCCTCGTCTCTTCGACCAGCAACAACAGCAACAACCTAACCAACAGACAGCGCAGCGACTGTACGTCCGCAATTTCCCGCGCTCCAAGTCGGCTCACACCGTGGCAGCACCGGTGGTAACGGGTAGCAAATCGGCAGAGGGCAGTGGTGAGAGTTCTGAGGGTGGAGTTTCCAAGTCGGCTGAGGAGTGCGGTGGGGAGAGTATGATGCTTCTGTTGCCGGAAGCAGAGGGTCGTTCGGAGATGAGTGAACCCCTATCCACCACCGAAGAGCGCGTTGAGTGCTTCCCACCCTCGGAGGGTCAACAACAGATGAGTAGTGCGAGTAGCAGTAAATTAGTCGCTTTGGCGTTTCGGGAAGCCAGTTTTGTTTAAGCTAGCACCGAGTGACACCAGACGATGTGTTACGCGTATCATTCGTCCTCTTTTGTATTTATACTATGGTATTTGTGCAATTAAAAGACTCCCTAATCATTAAAGGTAGAAAATTTTGAGTTGACCCCACTTTGTTAGTATGTGATTTTAACAAAGATAAATGGGATCTCGGATATAAGAGAAATGCCGTAAAGGTGGTGTAAGCATAAGGTTTTTTGGGGCTACTCTTATGAACAAGGTTGCGTGAAATTTGAGATGGATCTGATGGGCTCAAGTAAAATTAACATCACATGCCTGAGTTCCTAGTTTTGTTTTTGGGATAAAAAGTCCGCTCTAGAGGGTACACTGTGTGCGAATTAATATTTATGGTAGGAAATATTTTTGATCATATATACGTGCACATCCATGCAAAATTGATGTAGTGCGTCACGCAAGGTAAAGAATCCTCCGCTCTGAAGGTGGTCACGCTCATAATGCCTGCTTGAAATTATTTCAAAGGGCAAATAAAAGTATTAGAGGTTTTTTGCAACAGTAGATGTAAATAAACCTGTTTGGTAGACTTCGATGAATTACAGTCCATCTGGATGTCAAGTGACTAAAACATGCCGGACAGCTTCCACATTGCTTCGCTGCCATGACCTGTTGTAACATATGGGGTCTTGAGAGGCGTCACGGTCAGCCCATGGGCATAGTATTCCTTGACTTTTGTGCTCTCCACGCCCTTTCCAATATCTTGAACTCTCATTAAGTTGTGGATGAACATGATAATTGTGATTTGAGCCTGTCTGCAAAAGATTCTCCCAAAATTTCAATAGTATTTGGAACACGATGGGTGGCAGAAAATACTCTCCGGAAGAGAGCTAAACAATTGGATTCCAGTGGCGCACTGCAATGCTTCGATTGCTTGTTTAACTCCTCGTTGTGGTTCCATGGACATTTAAGGTTCCGCCTTTGGACTTCCGCCTAGCCGTGAGTGTTGACACAGCGGACTGTTTGCTGACTGCTTCGTGATATAAAGGGCATTTCTATCCCAACCTACATCAGCCAAACGAACGATTCTTTACCTATCCCCTGACGATCCACTCACCACCACTTACTCCGAATACTTCATTACCGGTGGCCTAGACTTGCTGTATGCGCTGTGGAACGTGGATTCATATGTTTGCTACCTGAAGGCCAAAATATAATTAAGACCGAGATTTATCCTTTTGGTATGGGGCACCTCGAAGAGGTCAAAGAAATAGCTTGAATCAGTCAGTTCGTTTGAGGAAAGTACTATTTAAGATCGGCAGTTTAGGATGGGAGGTTGATGCTGCCTCATCTTATCTCCTAATTCTCCAATTATTTATGACCTTTCCTCTACTGCAACCAGTCATATACGCAGTTGACAGCCGAGATGGAAATCGGATCTCGAGACATTTTTAAGTGCGAGATTTAACACGTCTTTATGCTGCATTCCAAGTGATTGCGTTATAAAATGGTAAAAATGCCCAATTTGAAGGATTTTATGTTTTAAAAGAAATACGTAGTTAAGGGATAACTTGAAATACCCAGTTAAGTGCAAGGATACAAATAGGATGGCATGCAGTAATTCTCCTTTTCCATAGACACAATAAATGCTGGTCCCCGTTTCGCTCACCTTTAGATTTCCCTATAGAATTGTAAACAAAGATGGTGCAAAAAAATACTCGGCATTTGAAAGGCTTAACAAGATCCATTGCAGCATCCGAGGCCTTTCCTGAAGTAGAAAGAAGATATAATATTAGGGCAGAAATTGTACTGCCCACGTACAGAAGGGCTGAGGGAATACCAGCATGGTTGGAAGGACAATCCTGAAGCATTAAGTGCTTGCGTAACTAAAACAAGCAGTTGAAGAGGCAGCTTAAGTACTACTTGGTCTTTTTCTACTTTTGATCGTCGTCCCCTGCGCCACCCTCCGTCAACTTTTCGCTTCTGCCATCACAACGTAGTCAGTGAGGTAAGAAAAAGATCCATAAAGCCAGCCACACCAGTCATCCAATTTACTTGCCGCTGAGAAGCCATTTGATCGCAGTGTCACTGATTCACTGCATCTGAAGTTTCGTCCCTATTGGCAACTGTATTGGGGAACAGAGGGAATGTGTTGACCATCTCCTATGTCCATTGCTTATCGCAAGGACACTGGCCTGAAAGGAACAAGATTTAAACTAGTTTCATGAGGATAAGGTTTCGCATCATCTCTAACTAGCAACTTTGTTCTTATTTCAGTGCTGTCCAGCCATACCTGTCCATATGGGTTCTGGCCAGTTAGTAGAGAGGTGGAGGAGGTATCTCTTACTCACTTCATTGACATTTTCACGCAGGTATCGCAGACAACTCCGTAACAAAATTTGTCAGACGGTTTACAGTCGGGACTTGTGTCGATAGCATTAGTTGCAAATAGCATTCCTGTAGAACACTAGGTGGTTGCTAAAGGTTGACATCATGTTTAACCCTTCTATTGGGGGTCGTCACAGGTTATCCCATCCGCAGCATGTCTTTCTTCCGTCAAAACAAGGCTTAGCATTCAGTAGTATAAAGCAGGATAGCTGTTCTTTCTGATCGGGTCTTCTTTCTACTGCCACAAATGTAGCGCCTCGAGTAATTCCTGATACCAAAGAAAGTCATAATACTATGGTAGAATATCTATTGCCGATGTACAGAAAGGCCGAGGGGGAGGGGCTACTGGCAGCCTCGGATACCATGCAGCCCAGTGGAAGTAAAATCTGCGAGGACTCAGGCGCTTGCGTTCTTAAACACAGAGGTCAGCAAACTACCAAAGCTTCACAGTTCCATTTATTATTCCTCATCCCATTACGACATATTCCGAAGTGTTGCACAAGCACCTCCTTAAAAAGTAACTACTTGTTCGCTGCTGAACATGGGGTCATAATTTGCTTCCACAGTGAACTGATGTATTTTCCTCACCAATGTACAATGAAATTCGAAAGAATAATGAAGGAATTTCAAATAACTCGACACCTATGGTTAATGTGAGCCTTTACGAACCTACAGTAGATAGTAGGTAAGTAGTCGGGGAAATGCAAGAGTACGTACCTGAAATTTTCTCCCCATAACCCGCCCCCTCGTACATGGGAGCGCCTCGATTTGATTTTAGACTTCTAGCATACTTACATACTTAAATAGCTACCAAAGAAATGAGATTAACTAATTCTTTCGGTGTACACAGTAACGAAAATTTCACTAAATTAGTGGTAAATAATTAAATGCTTACCATCTGAAGTGTCCGCAAAATAATAACCCAATGTGACCAGTATCACATAAAATCCCTTTTAAATCGGTTATTTAGCCATAGCTACAATCATTTACAAGGGAAATTTGACAGATGCCATGAGGAGAGAAACAGAAAATGTCAGTAAAGTACAAATAAGGAGAAAAGGACAATAATTTAAAGAAGTTAACGCTGACGCCTCTACATTTTGTTATGCTTGAATAAATTACTGACACAAGGTTCAGGGAAAAAGTCAGTTAGATAAAATATTTTATTCCCATTCCTTTAAAGAAGCGAAATTTTGATCCGTCATGTGAAATCAAACTTTTTGTGGGGAAAAAATTAAATGTTAATGACTGTGAAAGCGATCTTTCCAAAGGCGAGTGTTGAAATAACCTGACATTTTACAGTAGTACAGGGTGCCTTTTTTGTAAAGCCAAAAGCAGAACAAATCTGATGTAGAATAAAGCAAAATCTAACTCCTTTTTGTGGTCCGAAAAAAAGCACTCGCTACTTTTATTTAAACCATTCATCAAGGGTGAATCTGCAAGCCCAAAAGAGACCTTCCCTACATGGACGTCGGATTAAAAGCCATAAAACTGCGCCATTGATCACTCCCGTGTTTGTAATCGCTCTTTCCCTCCCCCTAACCTTTAATGGGTGAGACAGGGCGAGGAGGGGGTGGGGGCGGGGGACGGGGGTAATTAGCTCCTGTCAGAACAGAACACCCCACACAAACCCCTTTTCCCCAGTGGGTGGTTTCGCAGGAGCAGAGAAGGTGGTAGGCGGTTGTGTGTGATGGGGTAGGGTGGAAGGAAGACAACGCATTCGCAGGTGCTGCATAAATAATGCCACTTTAGGCAGGGATCGTTTACCCTGGGATTGTACTGCATCCTGTTTTAATATTGTATGATGTGGGGATAGTTTACTGATTTCGGTGGTAGTCTACGCAAAATTATAGAGAACTGGGTGAAGAAGGTGGCTAAAAGAGGTTCAAGTGATTTTGACCTCCCAACCGGCTGCAGATGGTAATTTAAATCTCTTAAAGGAACTGAACCCAGTAAGAAAGCTCTACCGGGATTCGATTATCCAAAACAATTCATAAGAAACATACAGGTACTTCCGAAGTAATTACGAGAAACAAAATTTGAAGATTTTTGAGTGAAAGCCGATTTGTTTGAATGAAAAACCGAATTTCCAAGCTTGAAAATAATTGGTGTCTGGAACTAAAATGTCTTAGAGCCTGCAAACATGAAAAGCACTGTTTGAAATTCCAAAATAGCGAGAAACAGGAAAAATGGAAGATATTAACTACTCCAATGAAAGGAGGTAACTTTTCGGTGTTAAAAAGGATTCCTTCTTATTCTTCTAAGTTCCCGAAAAGAGACAAAAAACAGGTAAGTGTTTCGTAGCTCCTCTCCGCCTAGATCTTCACAAATAGTAGACTTTGGTGGGCTTTTTTCGATCGAGACATAATTCGTGTTGTTGGCCTCTGCAGACCGTGGTAATTTTTTTGGTAAACGACTGTTGTTTTTCTTAATTAATCGAGCTAGAAGATTCCATCAGCTAAACGAGATTTGCGGCATCACACACCGAGAACCAGAGGGTAATGAGGCAAAAGTTCATGTTGATGTGCTAGCAACTCAGGGCCATAATCGGGCTAGTTTAATAAGAAATGAATATGATGTCTGTTTAGTTGCCATGGTTACTCGTAAATCCTAAGATCTTGTTACACTAACTCGTGGAATAG